CTGCTGAGGCCTTGCACACCTTCACACTTGACTCCGGTGCTTCTCGCTCCTTCTTTTGCGACAGCACCCACACTCACGACGATCAGTCGGCCAGTTGCAGTCTCCCTGGCGGACCCTTCGGGGGGTCCAGTCCTTGCGCACTCCTCCACGGTCCTGCCGTGTCCTGCGGTCCCGTCTGGCTCACTGTCGGGTCTTCACCTCCCCTCGTTCTCTACAAACTTGGTGAGTGGAGCTGACCTCCAGGATGCATGGGTTGACCAGTTCACTCCTGGAGGTCAGCGTGTGACCCACTGTACGTGCTCCCGGACGGGCCAGCACCTGGCCACGTTTACCCGTGCGCCTTGCTCGAGTCTGTACACACTGACTACTGCGTCCCCTCATATAGGTGCGTATGCGTTTGCGTCCGGTCAGCTAGCGCCCCCCTGCTCGTGTCGTGCTTTGTCGCACCAGAGCGTCCTCTGGCACCACCGTCTTGGTCACCCCTCGGTGCACCGCCTTCGTAGGCATGCACCGACGTGTCCTTGTCTCTGGTCTTCCCATGGTTCTCCCTCCCCTCCCACCCTCGCCTGCTCCTCCCTGTCTTCCCTGTGTCGAGGGGCGGCAGCGCGCCACTCCTCACTCCTCCTCGTTTCCCCCGACGACTGCTCCCCTGCACACCCTCCACATAGACGTATGGGGCCCAGCCCGCGTTCGTGGACAGGACCGCGAGCGGTACTTTTTGCTGGTAGTTGACGACTATTTGCGTTACACCACGGTCTTCCCTTTGCGCACCAAGGGTGAGGTCCCTGATGTTTTGATCCCTTAGATCCGCACTGCCCGTCTCCAGCTCCGAGAGCAGTTTGGGACGGACTTTCCCATCCTGAGTCTGCACTCTGACAGAGGTGGTGAGTTTGCCTCTCACTTTCTGCTGGGAATTTTGTCGTGGGAAGGGCATTCGCCAGACCTTCACGCTCCCGGCCTCACCACAGCAGAATGGGATTGCTGAGCGCCGCATTGGCTTAGTCATGGAGGTCACTCGTACCTCCATGGTCCATGCGGCTGCCCCCCATTTTCTGTGGCCGTTTGCGGTCCGTTACGCTGCGCATCAGCTCAACCTCTGGCCCCGTGTCTCCTTGCCGGAGACCTCGCCCCACACTGCGTTGGACGGGGAAGGTTGGCGATGCGTCAGTGTTTCCGTTCTGGGGTTCTCGTGCCTTTATCCGCGGTACTACAGCGAACAAGCTCTCCGCCCGTGCTATTCCCTGTGTCTTCCTTGGCTTTGTCCCTGACGCGCCTGGCTGGCAGTTTTACCACCCCACCTCACGTCGTGTCCTGCCCTCTCAGGACGTCACGTTCGACAAGTCGGTTCCATTTTACCGTCTCTTCCCCTACTGCACTGCCTCTCTCCCCCCCCACGCCGCTCTTCCTTGCTCCCGGTCCTCCTCCGGTAGACCCCCTCCCCCTCAGGGTCCTGTTCCCTCATGTGTGTTCCAGGTAGACGCTGTCGAGCCTGTCGATGTAGCGGTTGACTCTGGTGCTGCTACTGGGGGGTGGTGCTGCTGGGGGTGCTGAGCCTGAGCGTGTGGAGCCTGGGGGTGCTGAGCGTGAGCGTGCGGAGCCTGGGGGTGCTGAGCCTGAGCGAGTAGAGTGTGGGTGTGCTGAGCCTGGGGGTGCTGAGTCTGAGGGTGCTGCGTCTGGGGGTGCTGAGCCTGGGGGTGCTGAGCGTGGAGGTGCTGAGCCTGAGGGTGCTGAGCCTGCTGGAGTTCCTGCAGGTGCCTCGTCTCGGCGGGAGCCTCTCTCTCCACACCAGCTGTGCAAGTGGTTTTTCTTGCCGCTGGAGACTACAGCAAGGTGCTGCTGGAGCTGGAGCTGCTGGAGGTCCTGCTGGTGTAGGTGCTGCTGGAGCTGGAGCTGCTGGAGGTACTGCTGGAGGAGCTGGAGCTGCTGGAGCTGGGGGTGCTGCCGGAGCTGAAGCTACTGGAGGTCCTGCTGGTGCTGGTGCTGCTGGAGGTGTTGGAGGCGCTGGTCCCGGAGGTGCTCGTACTGGAGGTACTGGAGCTACTGGGGCTGGTGGTGCTGCCGGAGTTGGAGCTGGAGGCGCTGGGGTTGCTGCTGCTGGAGGTACTACTTGAGCTGGAGCTGTTGGAGGTACTGGAGCTGGTGGTGCTGCGGGAGTTGGAGCTGGAGACCCTAGAGCTGGGGGTACTGGTGCTGTCTCTGCTGGTTGTGGAGGCGCTGCTCGGCCGCGGTCGAACTTCGTTCCACTTCTTCAGCAGGTTCTTGGTCTCCCGCCTTCTACTGGTCCTGCTCTTCCCTTACTATGTCCACAGCCTGCCCCGTCGCAGTCGCAGCTACAGCCAGCCTCACCACTGCTTGGTCCTTCTCCGTACTCTGGGCCGACTAGAGATCTTACGGAGCGTCGTGAGCCAGAGTCTCGTCCTGCGTCGCCTGCGTCTCATCCTTCGTCACCTGTTCGCGATGTTCGCACTAGTAGTTGTGTTTTCATAACATTATAGCTTATGCTTTTGTGTAGGTTGTAGTGGGGTAGCCCATATGGGGTACAACCCAATTAGGGTTAGTACTTGTACCCAACTCTTTCATAGTGCATTCATTCTCGTTCTAGTTTTCTCATGGTATCGAGCAGGTTCCCTCGTGGGAATTGTTCCTAGGGCCCACCAATTCGATTTTTTTTTCCTGCCCGGAGCACGCTCAGTTCGTGCCCGAGTCGCGCTCCTCTCTCTAGACCCTCTCGCGCCGCCTTAGCGGCCCCGTCGCGTTGCGCTATAGGCCCCGTCGCGTCGCCCTCGCGGCCCCATCCCGTCGCGCCGCCCTAGCGACTGCGTCCCGCCGCCCTAGCGGCCCCGATCCGCCGCCCTAGCGGCCGTGTCGCCTACTCTTGCGGCCCCGGCGCCGCCCTTCCCGGCCCCGATCCGCCGCCCTAGCGACCCCGTCACCTACCCCGCGGCCCCGGCGCTGCCCTTCCCGGGCCCCGACGACGCCCTTCCCGGCCCAGCCCTGCCTCTGCTAGCCCCGTCGCCTAGCCCTGCGGCCCCGGCGCCGCCCTTCCCGGCCCCGACGCCGCCCTTCCCGGCCCCGATCCGCCGCTCTGCGGCCCCGTCGCCTACCCCGCGGCCCCGGCGCCGCCCTTTTCTCGGCCCCGACGCCGCCCTTCCCGACCCGGCCCAGCCTCTGCTGGCCCCGTCGCCTACCTTGCGGCCCCGGCGCCGCCCTTTCCCGGCCCCGACGCCGCCCTTCCCGACCCGGCCCCGCCTCTGCTGGCACCGTCGCCTACCTCTGCGGCCCCGACGCCGCCCTTCTCGCCCCGGCACTGCCCATCTCGGCCCCGGCCCAGCCTCTGCTGGCCCCGTCGCCCGCCCTTCCCGGCCCCGGCCCCGCCTTCACGCGGCCCCGCCGAGCTACTGCCGAGCCGCCAGTGCCACCCGAGCCGCCCGAGCCGCCACGCCACCTGAGCCGCCCGAGCCGCCGTACCGCCGAGCCGCCCGAGCCGCCGAGTCGCCGGGCCGCAGTTGCCGCTGAGCCGCCCGAGCCGCCCGAGCCACCGAGTCACCGAGCCGCAGTTGCCGCCGAGCCGCCCAAGCCGCCCGAGCCGCCGAGTCGCCGAGCCGCCGAGCCGCCGAGCTGCAGTTCCTGCCGAGCCGCCAAGCCGCCCGAGCCGCCCTGTCCGGTAAGAGCAGCGCCTCTGTCACTGCACTGCCCTTACCCCACTGTTCGCGCTACTAGTCTACTGCTGTCATGGCTACCCCTAGTGTCCTCGCTTTTGACGCTGAGGGCCGGGCCATTGACTTTGACGTCTGGGTAGATGACCTGCAGCTTTTCCTACAGTGCGATAGGGCAGACGGTCTCTCCCTCTTTGACCTCACCTCTGGTGCCTCTCCTGCCCCTGCTGCTGATGCTGACGCCACTGTTCGCTCACAGTGGGCCACACGCGATGCTGCTGCACGTCTTGCTGTGCGTCGCCACCTGCCTACCTCTGAGCGTACGCACTTTAGCCAGTACAAGAGTGCTCAGACCCTGTACGACGCTGTAGTTGCACGCTACTCCTCCCCTGCCACTGCTGCACTGAGCCGCCTCATGCTACCATACCTCTTCCCTGATCTTGCTGCCCTTTCCCACAGTCGCTGACCTCATTACGCACCTCCGCACTAGTGACACTCGCTACCGCGCTGCGCTTCCTGCTGAGTTCTGTGCCAAGAACCACCCCCCCCATGTACATCACTCTCTACTACATCGTCACTCGCCTCCCTGACTCCCTTCGCGTATTCAGGGACCACTTCCTCTCAGTTTGCCCCACCACTCTCACCGTTGACCTCCTCGAGAAGGCCCTCCTAGCAGCGGAGAAGAGCATAGTCGCTGTAGGAGCCTCTCGTGGTGACCCTCGCACCCCCATCTTTGAGGGGTGTTCCCCCTCCCCCCTTTTGCCCTCTGTTGCCTCTGCTGCTGCGGCCGACCTCGTTGGGCTTGAGTCGGTCGGTGCGGCGTCTACCCCTAGCGGGAGACGCCGCCCTGGCAAGGGCAAGGGGGGCAGGGGCGCTGGTGGAGCTAGCGGGGGCGGTGGAGGCGGCGGTGGAGGCGGCGGAGGGAGTGGGGGTGGCGGTGGGGGTGGTGGCGGGGGTGGAGGTGTCGGTGGCGGCAGTGGAGGCGGAGGCGGCGGCGGTGGCGGTGGGAGCGGAGGTGGCGGAGGTGGCGGCGGAGGAGGAGACGGTGGCGGAGGAGGTGGAGCTGGTCGGGGTGGCGCTGCGCAGAGGGTCGGCTCCGGTGGTGGTCAGTGCCAGCACCAGCAGCAGCAGCAGCGCACTCGTCACATCCCCCCCCCTCAGCAGCTCCGTGAGTGGTAAGCTGCACGCCAGCGGGGTGAGGGTACTGGTCCGTGCACCTACGTCCTACGCAACGACGACCGCGCGGGTGAGCAGTGTGGGGGTGCGCACTCCACCCAGCGCTGCTTTGGCCGCCTGACGGACGCTTGGCGTCAGCAATTCCCGGAGGCCACTGAGATCCCTCGCTGGGGCGAGCTGTCTTAGGCCGAAGTAGCTGTCTTTCACCTTGACTTTGATGCTATTCTTGCTGCCATGTATGCTGTGACTATTAGTGAGGAGGGTGACTGTTACCGGTGTTTTCCGCCCGACCCGGGCATTGAGACTGCTGCTCTAGGTACTGGTGAGGCTGCTGCTCTAGGTGCTAGCGAGGCTGCTGCTCTAGGTGCTAGTGAGTCTGCTTCCTCAGGTGCTGGTGAGTCCGCGCTCTCAGGTACCGAGTCGGCTTCGGCCTCCCTCACCTTCACCCTTGACTCGGGGGCTTCTCGCTCCTTCTTTCGAGACCGCACCACACTCACGCCACTTGGTCGGCCGGTTGCAGTCTCTCTGGCAGACCCCTCTGGGGGTCCTGTCCTTGCTCACTTCTCCACTGTCCTCCCGTGTCCGACGGCTCCCTTTGGCACCCTGTCTGGTCTTTACCTCCCCTCGTTCTCTACGAACTTGGTGAGTGGTGCTGACTTACAGGATGGGGGAGTTCACCAGTTCACTCCTACGAGTGGTACACACTAACCACTGCGTCTCCTCCTGTCCCTGCGTCTGGTCAGGTAGCTGCGTCGGGTCATGTGTTTGCTGCAGCGTCCAGGTCTGGTCCTGAGTCTGCCCCCTGCTCGTGTCGCCTCCTGTCTCACGAGACTCTCCTCTGGCACCACCGCCTTGGTCACCCCTCCCTGCTTCGTCTCTGAGGCATGGCCTCCCGTGTCCTTGTCTTTGGTCTTCCCCGGTCCCTCCCTCCCCTTCCTCCGGGGCCTGGCCCTACCTGCGTCCCCTGTGTCGAGGGACGGCAGCGGGCTGCCCCTCACTCCTCAAAGTTCCCTCCGACAGAGGCCCCGCTGCAGACGCTTCACATGGACGTGTGGGGCCCCGCCCGCGTCCGTGGACTGGGTCACGAGCGCTACTTCCTGCTGGTGGTTGACGACTACTCGCGTTACACCACAGTCTTCCCCTTGCGCAGCAAGGGTGATGTCACTGAGGTGTTGATCGACTGGATCCGCGCAGCTCGTCTCCAGCTCAGGCAGAGCTTCGGCTCGGACTTTCCTGTTCTGCGTCTGCACTCTGACAGAGGCGGAGAGTTCTCCTCTCGCCTTCTACGAGCCTACTGTCATGCACGAGGAATCCGCCAGACCTTCACGCTTCCAGACTCTCCACAGCAAAATGGGATTGCTGAGCGCCGCATTGGCATAGTCATGAACGTCGCCCGTACGTCCATGATGCATGCAGCTGCCCCCCATTTTCTGTGGCCGTTTGCGGTTCGGTACGCGGCGCATCAGATCAACCTTCACCCCAGGGTCTCCATGCCGGAGACCTCCCCAGCCTTGCTGTGGACGGGGACGTTTGGCGATGCGTCTGCGTTCCGTGTCTAGGGATCTCGGGCGTTTGTCCGCGACTTGTCTGCGGACAAGCTGTCCCCTCGTGCGGCTCCTTGCGTCTTCCTTGGCTTCCCCCTTGACGCGCCAGGGTGGCAGTTCTACCACCCCACCTCTCGCCGTGTTCTGTCCTCCCAGGACGTCACGTTTGACGAGTCGATCCCCTACTACCGCCTCTTCCCCTACCGCACTCCGTCCCTCCCCCCGCCACCGCTCTTCCTCGTACCAGGTCCCCCCCCGGTAGACCCCCTCCCCCCTCAGGTCCAGCCCCTTCAGGTGTGTCCCAGGTAGACGCAGTCGAGCCTGTCGAGGTCACTGGTGACTCTGGTGCTGCTGAGGGTGCTGAGCCTGGAGGTGCTGACTCAGGGGGTGGTGAGACTGGGGGTGCTGAGACTGGGGGTGCTGAGACTGGGGGTGCTGAGACTGGGGGTGCTGAGACTGGGGGTGCTGAGCGTGGGGGTGCTGAGCCTGGGGGTGCTACGCCTTGGGGTGCTGAGCCTGGGGGTGCTACGTCTGGAGTTGCTGAGCCTGGGGGTGTGGAGCCTGAGGGGGCTGGGCCTGCTCGTGTGGCGTCTGGCGGTGCTAGGCCTGGAGGTTCTCCGGGTGCTTCGTCTCTGCGGGAGCCACTCTCTCCACAGGAGCTGCGCGAGTGGTTTGCCCGGTGGTGGAGGCGTGCTGCTGGAGCTGGAGGGTCTTTGGCTGCTGAGGGTGCTGGTGCCGCGGGTCCCGGAGGTGCTCGTACTGGAGGTACTGGAGCTGCTGGGCCGGCGGGTGCGACTGGAGCTGGAGCTGCTGAGGGTGTTGGTGCTGAGGCTACTACTGTCGGTCCTGGAGGCGGTGCTACTGTAGGTGCTACTGGTGCTGCTGGAGGTACTGGAGCTGGGGGTGCTGCTGGCGCTGGTGCTGCCGCTGGGGGTGCTTGTACTGTCCCTGCTGTGTCTGTAGTCGCTGAGCGGCCTCGGCCGTACTTCGTTCTGCTCCTTCAGCAGATTCTTGGTCTCCCGCCTTCTACTGGTCCTCCTCCTCCCTTAGAGTGTCCATAACCTATCCCGTCACAGTTACAGTTACCGCCGGCCTCCCCACTGCCTGCTCCCTCTCCCTACACTGGTCCTACTGGAGGTCTTGCTGAGCGTCGTGAGCCTGCGTCTCGCCCTACGTTGCCTATCCGTCCTGCTCGCACTAGTGGTCGTAGTTCGCGTCAGCGTCCTGCTCTAGCACGCACCGGATGTCTCTGCGTCCGTCCACTGCTCCTCTGCGTGCCCCTTTGCCTTCTCCTCCTGAGTCCTCGCTTCCTGCTCTTGCCGACCCGGAGTCAGACTCTCTTCGTGCTGCCAGTCCTACAGTCACGCGTCTCCTTGCTACTGTTGTCACTGACCCTTCTTTTGAGTCCACTACTGCATCAGCCCTCGTTGCTGAGCTCGTCAACTTTGCTGCTCGCTGTCGTCTAGACTACACTACTAGTCTTCTCGCTGAGTCTGAGTCTGTCTGTCCTCCGTCCGTCGGGGGTGAGTGTGCCCTTGGCACGGACATCCTTGAGGACAGGCAAGAGGAGTTCCAGTGTCTGGCTGCTGCTTCACCTCATCTCGTGTCCGTACTGCTTACCCCTGAGGGAGACCCGGATGCACTTGACATCCCGACTCCGCGCTCTTACGCGGAGGCGATAGAGGGTCCCTACTCCTCTCAGTGGCAGGCAGCTATGGACGCAGAGATGGCTTCCTGGAAGTCCACAGGCACCTACGTTGACGACGTTCCCCTGCCTGGGGCGAACATCGTCAGTGGCATGTGGATTTTCAGGGGGAAGCGGCTGCCGGGTTCTTCGCCTGTCTTCAAGGCGCGTTACGTGGCTCGTGGCTTCAGTCAGCGGCAGGGAGTTGACTACTTTCAGACCTTCTCTCCCACCCCGAAGATGACCACTCTTCGTGTACTGCTGCACATAGCTGCTCACCGTGACTACGAGCTTCACTCTCTTGACTTCATCACAGCTTTCCTGCAGGGCAGCCTGCACGAGGAGATCTGGCTGCGCCGCCCACCTGGCTTCACTGGGTCTTTTCCACCTGGCACCCAGTGGAGCCTCCGGCGGCCAGTCTACGGTCTCCGCCAGGCACCGCGTGAGTGGCACGACACACTGAGGACTACACTTGCGGCTCTTGGGTTTGCTCCCTCTACTGCCGACCCGTCGCTGTTTCTGCGCACCGACACCTCTTTGCCGCCGTTCTACATCCTCGTGTACGTTGATGACTTGGTCTTTGCCACAGCTGACACTACTGGACTCGCCCACATGAAGTCCGAGCTGCAGAAGAGACACACGCGCACAGACCTAGGTGAACTGCGCAACTACCTTGGCTTGCAGATCACCCGGGACAGAGCACGCCGCACCATTACCCTGACTCAGTCACACATGGTGCAGCAGGTCCTTCAGCTCTTCGGCTTCACGTACTCCTCGCCTCAGGCCACTCCTCTGCCTATTCGCCACTCGCTCTCAGCTCTGCCTTCGGATGAGTCCGTAGAGTCGAGTGGCCCGTACCCAGAGCTTGTTGGCTGCCTCATGTACTTGATGAGCTGCACTCGACCTGACCTTGCATACCCTCTTAGCATTCTCACACGCTATGTTGCTCCTGGGAGACACCGACCAGAGCACATGGCTGCAACGAAGAGGGTGTTGCGCTACTTGTGCAGTACGTCGGGCATGGGGCTTGTGCTTGGAGGGCAGAGTCCAGTGGTCCTCACTGGGCACGCAGACGCTTCTTCGGCTGACGACCAGGCTACGCAGCGGTCGTCACAGGGTTACACCTTCAGCCTTGGTTCCGGCTCTGTTTCGTGGTGAGCTACCCGCTCGTCTTCTGTTCTCGGCTCCAGTTGTGAGGCTGAGATCTACGCCGGGGCCATGGCTGCACAGGAGCTTTGCTGGCTCACCTACCTGCTGACTGACCTTGGAGAGCCGCCTCGTTCTCCTCCATTGCTGTACGTAGACAACAAGGCCATGCTGGCCTTGTGTCGAGAGCAGAGACTGGAGCACAGAACGAAGCACATTGCTCTTTGCTACTTCCTTCCTCGTGAGCTGAAGTAGCGTGGTCAGCTGCGTCTTGCGTACGTGGCCTCTGAGGCCAACACTGCTTATATCTTCACCAAGGCGCTTGCGCCTTGTTATCATCAGCGCTTCTGTACTCAGCTGGGTCTTGTGCCTGCCTTGCCTCACTTGCTCACCTCTTGACCTTGCTTGTATATATATGCAAGGCGCTTGCCTCTTGACCTTGCTTGTATATATATGCAAGGCGCTTCCACTTGCCGCCCGGATCTATCATACTCTGCAAGCCAGCTCGCCACCTATCTCAAGAAGCCTGAAACGGAACACCTGGCGGAGCTCGACCGCGCTCTTCACTACCTCGTCAGCACCCCGACGATCGGTCTAACTTACCACAAGAACGCAACTACAACACCTAAGCTAATCGGCTACGTCGACGCCGATCACGCGGGCGACTCCGACAACAGACACTCGCGCACCGGCTACGTCTATCGGTTCGAACCCATCGGACCTATCTCCTGGCAGTCGAGCAAACAGGAGTTAATCGCGCTCTCCTCAGCTGAAGCAGTATATATAGCATTCTACTCAGCCACCAAGGAAGGACTCTACCTTTGGGAACTACTGGAAGAAGCAAAGCTAGCTCAATTACCCAGCTTCACCATGTTCTGCGACAACCAGTCAGCAATTCGCATTGCCAACAAGAACGGCTTCGCGAACAGGACGAAACATATCGCCCTGCGTTACTTCTTCATGAAGGACGAGATCGAGAAGGGGAGACTCGAGCTGTCATACTGCCCCACATCCGAGATGGCAGCTGATTACTTGACCAAGAAGCTCGGAAAACAAAAGTTCGAGTACTGCATGCTGCCGACTGGACAGAGCCACGTCACCAACAGCGACACTCCAGAAGCGAAGGGGAGAGTTGGAAACAATCAAGCTTAAGCGCCTCTGTCGTGTCGAAACACCAAGGCACAAGCGAAGCGAAGCATATCGAAGCACCAGCGAGTCAACCCTCGGAGGTTGAATTAACTGCTGGAGGTTACGCGAAAGTCAAAGGTCAGCGACCTTTGACCTGACAAGTACAGCGCGACAGCAAGGACACACAACTGACTCGCTACAGAGCAGTTGCCCGAGTCGTCACTGTATCGAACCGCAATAGCAACAGTAAAGTAGTTACAACTGTATCTCTTCATATTCCTTGTACTCTGACATAATCCTGTATCTCTTTGCCTTAATCAACTTACTTTGCCCTCACATACTAGCGCAAGGTGGTTCACAACTCTTCATTAAAACGCTTCCGCTACTACATCAGTCCTACCCAGAGTTCACCCCTGCAAAGATCCTAAGGGCATTTCTCAGCCCAACAAATAGCAGATCAAAGTGAAGAGAGGGGGGATCGTAGATTGATGAGGGGAGACCTCCGGGGAGTTCCAGTCACCTTCGAGTACTCTATGACTAAACTGCTAAAATGCTAGGTACAAGCCATAGTTTCACAAGTGTGAGAAGGGGTGATGGTGTGCGTCAATCAGATGTGTTACGCTGCACAACGGTTCGTCTACACAATGCAGTGGTTGACTAGGGCTTAGAGCTAAAAGTATTTTGACACTTGAGCTGCAAGATTATATCAACTTCTGACAACATCCGCGACCTTGGGAACATGGTGGACTTGAAGTTGCTTTTCCCCAAATATAATTTCTTGCCTCGGTTCTCTTCACAACCTTTCCACAAAGCTATCATAGAGTTTTGTGAACCTATTAAGGTTGTGAAGAGAACCGAGGTACAAACTTCAGTTGTGTTCCTATTAACGAACCTATTTTCTGCTGTGGTTCGAGACTGTGGGTTCGTCTGTCGCACACCAAGTTTGCGCATCCCCTGCGCTTGCGCGACTGCAATAATTCATGTTGCATGGGAGGGAGTGGGCAAATCTGAGCTGTAAGATTAGCAATAATTCACCCCGCTGAGAGATGACCAAATGTGTGCCGTGCGATTGATAATAATTCACATCGCTGCGACGAGCGGAACTCCGACCTCCCTCCCCCTGAACATTCGGCGAGATCGCAGAGCCCGCATTACCCCAATAATTCGTTTGTTCAGCTGCAAGCTCCAATCCTGTTGCTTCACTCAGGCTCCACAGTCGTTCACGAGCCAGAGCGACACTACAGGCGACTGCAGTCGCTCAGGCGACCCTGCAGGCGACTGTTGATTCAGTCGCCATGCTTTCTAGCATGCGCTTGTCACTCGCAGAACCCCCAATTCCCAAACGCGATTCGAAAGGTCGCGTTCCCAGTAGCGCCTCGAACTGTACATTCATTAGCCTCAGGAAATTGGCGAGAGTCCAATCCAAGTCGAACTGTACATGGATGGGGGCACCACCAGAGCAGCAATAGAGTCTCTCTGCTGCTTCCGTTCCATTTTCTCGTTCCGTATGATAGCAAAGCCAGCAGCATTCAGCAAACCATAGTACCTGTACGTATCGAGCTGCGCCTTTTCAGCGCCTTGTACCAGCAGAAGAAAGAGTCATCTCTCCTGAAATTGCGCTACGCATTTCGCGTGACTCACGCGTGCGATGTGAGAGTCTCCTCTGCAAAAAAATTGCGCCCCGAACTTTGTTGCAACGATCGTTGCGAGTAAATCTCAGTGCGCCGCCCACCACAGTAGCAGCGACGTGCGCCAAACGTACCAGCAGAAGAAAGAGACATCTCACCGCCCACCAGAGTGGCAGCAGCGCGTTTTGAGGCGCCACAGTGGCAGCAGCAGCGCCCTGACATTGCGTGACTCACGCGTGCGACGTGCGAGTGTGGTTGCAAGGCACTCTGAGAGCGTGCCGTACACCACAGTGGCAGCGACGTGCTGCGCAAGAAAATACTGCACCTGACGTCACGTCAGCGTGACCCTACCTGACGTGGCAGCTTGACCCTCCTGACGTGGCAGCTTGACCCCACCTGACGTGGCAGCTTGACCGCATGGCTGCCTCTCCTCCCACGCTGCTTCCTCTCCTCGTCCTCGCCGTCATCTGCGGTGAGTCGCTTCTCTCTCCTTGTCGTTCCCAAGCGGCTTGTACTCATAAGCGGCTCATATCTCTGTGACGTTTCTACTTTTTTTCACAAGCTATGTGTAAGACCTCCCGCTAGACCGTCGGGCCCAACTTGGGGGGTTCTTACAAGCGCATCGAATGGCTTGTCGACCGTTGGTGCAAGCACACCGCTGGATAGGACGCCGCTGGATAGTACTCCGATGGATAGACACCACATGTACCGTGCTGACGGTACTCTAGATACAAAAAGCGCCACCGTGACGGCTCCGAGCCTTCTTCAAGTTGATCCGCCTATTCTGGATACAAAAAGCAGAGTCTGCTTGATCTGCCACATCTTGATCTAATGAGGCCCATTCCTGTTCACTACATCTGAGAAGAACGCACTCTCTGCCCCATTCCGCCTCTGTCCCCTCTGCCTCCCTCTCCTCCTCTCACCACGCTCCTCCCCTCTGCTCTCAGCGGTCGCCACGGCGCACATGACGGCGCGCGAACGCGGGAATCCCCTCAACGCGGGCGTGCGAGTGCGAGAAGCAAGCGAGGTTGCAAGCGAGGCTGCGACAGCCAGAATCCTCAAAACCGAGATCTCCGCAGGAAGCGGGAATGAGAACATGGGCGTGGGGGTGGGGGTGGATGTGGGTGATGGGGGCGGCGGGGTTGGGGCGGTGGACGCAAGTGTCCACGTGGCAACGCAGATCAAGGTGTCGGGCGTGAGCGTCCCCGTCAGCTTCGACGCCCTCCGCTGCTTCAGCCTTCCCCGGGCGGCGCGCAAGGCGGCGGGTGACGTGCAGGTGTGGTGGCACGGGCTCACGGGCGGCGGCAGGGGCGGCGGCAGCAAGAGCGGCGGTGGTTCGCGTGGGAAGGGTGGAGGTGCGGCGTGCAAGCAGCTGCGGTTCTTTGCCAACCCGGCCTGCAAGGGCAAGGCGCTGGATGAGGTGCTGCAGCCGCAGTTTGCTGCTCTAAGGAGATTCTTCCACGTGCCCAGGTGGGTCCTGGGTACAGGGCAGGTGGAAATGGGGGCGGGGGAATGAGTTTCCCCACCACATTCGTGGGGAGTTACCAATGATGCCTCAGTCGTGCTTCGGGTTGTGCCGCCCTAATGTAATGTCCCGTGTCTCTCCTGAATGTGCTTCTGACATCCCTGCGTGCAGCTCAAAGAAGGTTGCCCGATGGACTTCCGTCTCCTGCAAGTGTGGTGCGTGCCTTGCCTCCCTGCCTTCCTGCTTCCCTGCCTCCTTGCCTCCTTGCCTCCTTGCCTCCTTGCCTCCTTGCCTCCCCACCTCCTTGCCTCCTTGGCTCCCCGCCTCATTTCCCTGCCTCGTTGCTTTGCACGCATTGCTTGATTCTCCTCGCCGCATATTGTCGTACCCCTGTGTTGGTCTTACCCGCCGCGCTGCACACATCTCACCCCACGTGTCTCTGTGCTACCCACGTGTCTCTGTGCTACCCACGTGGCTCTCTTCTCATCTCACCCCATGCTGCCAGAAATCACCTGCCAGCACGCCACGTGCATGCCAACGACTGACAGCAAGGGCGTCACGTGTCTCTGTGCTACCCATGACTCTCTTATCCCGTGCTGGCTCCCCTCCCATTGCAGAAATCACCTGCCAGCACGCCACGTGTCCAGCCAACTCCACGTGCATGCCAACGACTGACAGCAAGGGCGTCACCTGTCAATGCAACCAGGGATTTACTGCCGTCAATGGCACCTGCCAAGGTACGATGCTTGAGGTATCCGATTCCACCCATGATTCTTACATTACCTTGGTCTTTAAACCTCGTCTTCATTTCCTTTCTCCGTATTTCTTTTTTCCGTGCAGACTTGTGCGACGCAGTGAAGTGTGGGCCTGGAGGCAACTGCGTGAAGGATGCGAACGGAAAGCCATCCTGTAGTTGCAACACGGGCTTTAAGCCGTCGAATGACACGCTCTCTTGCATTGGTGAGCAGGAGGAGAGCAACACAGTGCATCAGCCTTGCGTTCCAAACCCAGTTCTTGCAACGCGGGCTTTAAGCCATCAAATGTCTCCCATTCTTGCATAGGTGAGTAGGAGAGCATCACAGTGCATCGGTGCATTTATTGCATTTCAAACCCAGTTGAAACTTGGCCTCCTCTCTCAACTTTCTTGTGAGTGAGAGTGACGGATTGCACGCATATTCAACTCAGTGTCCCTTAGGATTGAATGTCAAGATCACAATCTTATGGTTTTCTGATATGATGAAATCTTTCCACGTGCCCGGTTCCCCTTTTCCTTGCAGACTTGTGCGACGCGGTGAAGTGTGGCCCTGGCGGCAACTGCACAAAGGATGCGAACGGGAATCCATTCTGTAGTTGCAACACGGGCTTTAAGCCGTCAGATGATTCGCTCTCTTGCATTGGTGAGTTTAAGGAGAGCAACACAGAGCCCGTGCCTTGCTTTCCAAACCCAGTTCTTGAAACATGGCCTCCCTTCAATCTAAATATCATGCAGGAATTTGCGGCTTCCATGCATGTCCAACTCTGCGACCATTTAGAACTTATTGTTTTCTTATATGATGCTACGTCTCCGCTTGCCTGGGTCTCTTACCCTTCAGACAATTGTGCTACAGTGAATTGCGGGCCCAATGGCAAGTGTGTGAGGAAGGGGAGCGGCGAACCCACCTGCGAGTGCGACGCGGGCTATGAGTTGCTTCCGGACAAACTGTTTTGCGGTGAGTTTCTGCAGTGATATCGATTCTTTCAGTATCAAACTTTTGGGAGTGCGTCAAACGTGATTCGCAACGATCTCTATTTTTTTAGTGCCTTTTTTCTACACGTGCCTCTCGGCGAGCTGGTTTGCATCTGTGAGATGCATTGCCTTTGGTATTTTGTTCAGGTGCCTCAAAACTTGGCTATGAGTTGACTCAAAAGTCAATTCTGTTTAGCATCGGTGACTTGCTGGCCCCACAGGTCTCGCATCGACGGAGGAAATTTGTTGTGCATATTTGCGACTCATGCATGTGGTTGACCTGCCATCATGCATGTGGTTGACCTGCCATCATGCATGTGGTTGACCTGCCATCATGCATGTGGTTGACCTGCCATCATGCATGTGGTTGACCTGCTATCATGCATGTGGTTGACCTGCTATCATGCATGTGGTTGACCTGCTATCATGCATGTGGTTGACCTGCTATCATGCATGTGCCGCCTGCTGTATCTCTCTCTTCTCTGAAGCATTATCCCCGTTGTTTTCATTTCCCCCCTTCTTCCACTCAGACATGGGTTGCGACTTGTTGGGCTGCGACTTGTTGGGCTGCGACTTGTTGGGCAACTTACTCATATCACGTGGCTACTCTGTTTTACCCCTTCTTCCACTCAGACATGGGTTGCGACTTGTTGGGCTGCGGACCGGAGGGGGACTGTGTGTTCAACGCTGATGGATTTCGCTCTTGCAAATGGAGTAAGCATGAGCAGATGGAGTGAGCATGAGCAGATAAAGTAAGCATGGGCAGATGGAGTGAGCATGGGCAGATAGAGTGAGCATGGGCAAATGAGTGAGCGAGGGCAAATGGAGTGAGCATTGGTGAATTAAGTGAGCATGGTTCTTAGCCTTTTCTGTACACCTGATCCAACCCATCGGCACTTGTTCTCCCCTAGCTCTATCATTTGGTGCAGCTGGCCCTTTTGCGGCTCGCTCTAAACATTCATCTGCAGCTAGACCAGTTGCTGTGCTCACTCCACCATGTCTCTGCCATACCCTGTGTCTCCCCTGCTTGCTGTGTTGCTCAGAATCACCCTGTGGCACATGCCCCTATGCTTGCCCACGTGCCCCTATCCTTGCCCACGTGCCCCTATGCTTGCCCACGTGCCCCTATGCTTGCCCACGTGCCCCTATGCTTGCCCACGTGCCCCTATGCTTGCCCACGTGCCCCTATGCTTGCCCACGTGCCCCTATCCTTGCCCACGTGCCCCTATGCTTGCCCACGTGCCCCTATGCTTGCCCACGTGCCCCTATGCTTGCCCACGTGCCCTATGCTTGCCCACGTGCCCCTATGCTTGCCCACGTGCCCCTATGCTTGCCCACGTGCCCCTATGCTTGCCCACGTGCCCCTATGCTTGCCCACGTGCCCCTATGCTTGCCCACGTGCCCCTATGCTTGCCCACGTGCCCCTATGCTTGCCCACGTGCCCCTATGCTTGCCCACGTGCCCCTATGCTTGCCCACGTGCCCCTATGCTTGCCCACGTGCCCCTATGCTTGCCCACGTGCCCCTATGCTTGCCCACGTGCCCCTATGCTTGCCCACGTGCCCCTATGCTTGCCCACGTGCCCCTATGCTTGCCCACGTGCCCCTATGCTTGCCCACGTGCCCCTATGCTTGCCCACGTGCCCCTATGCTTGCCCACGTGCCCCTATGCTTGCCCACGTGCCCCTATGCTTGCCCACGTGCCCCTATGCTTGCCCACGTGCCCCTATGCTTGCCCACGTGCCCCTATGCTTGCCCACGTGCCCCTATGCTTGCCCACGTGCCCCTATGCTTGCCCACGTGCCCCTATGCTTGCCCACGTGCCCCTATGCTTGCCCACGTGCCCCTATGCTTGCCCACGTGCCCCTATGCTTGCCCACGTGCCCCTATGCTTGCCCACGTGCCCCTATGCTTGCCCACGTGCCCCTATGCTTGCCCACGTGCCCCTATGCTTGCCCACGTGCCCCTATGCTTGCCCACGTGCCCCTATGCTTGCCCACGTGCCCCTATGCTTGCCCACGTGCCCCTATGCTTGCCCACGTGCCCCTATGCTTGCCCACGTGCCCCTATGCTTGCCCACGTGCCCCTATGCTTGCCCACGTGCCCCTATGCTTGCCCACGTGCCCCTCTGCTTGCCCACGTGCCCTCTGCTTGCCCACGTGCCCTCTGCTTGCCCACGTGCCCCTCTGCTTGCTGTGTTGCTCAGAATCACCCTGTGGCACATGCCCCACTGGAGCCACCTGCAAGACCATCCATACCTCTTACCTTTTGGCATCTCTTTGCCATGCCCTGTATGCCCCTCTGCTTGTTGTGTTGCTCAGAATCACCCTGTGGCACATGCCCCTCTTTAGCCACCTGCAAGACCATCCGTGCAAATAATTCCGAAGAGGCGGTCGTGCCGTACTGCGAGTGCCCTCCGGGCTATGGGATGACCGCAACAGAATGCAAAGCGGGTAAGATTCACCAGCGCCCCGCCTGCTTCCCACCCTTCAATCACACGCTGCATGCATTTGTCTCACTCACGCTTGAAGAGGCGGTCGTGCCGTATTGCGAGTGCCCTCCAAGCTATGGGATGAGCGCAACAGAATGCATCTAGGGTAAGACTCGGATTAAGAATCAATCTGATTCATCTCAATCTAGTGACCTGCAGGCGGATGTGCCTTACTGCGAGTGCCCTCCAGGCTATGAGATGACCGCAACCGACTGCAAAGCAGGTAAGATTCAATGCCGCCCTGCCTGTTTGCTTCATCTCAATCTAGTGATTCTGAAGAGGTGGTCGTGCCGTACTGCGAGTGCCCTCCAGGCTATGGGATGTCCGCAACAGGATGCAAAGCGGGTAAGATTCAAATGTTACCCTGTTTGCTTCATCTCTTTTCATCCAAAGCTGCATTTGCGCGGCTCTGCAAGAGTTTGGGGGCTGATGAGGTAGGGTAGCACAGTGGTGAAGCGGACAATCTCTCAACTTCTAAGGTGGCTTTAAGGATGACTTGTGAGGACCCTTGAGGCACCCAAAAGGAGACAGGGTCCTGAAGTTGTAAGGACTTTTGAAAGCCTCTCAATCTGGAGCCATGATCCCTTGCAGCAAACGATTTACTTTTCCCGCCTTCTGTTTGCCTTCACCTTCTTTTCTTTTGTCTCTCGTAACATCACAACTTCCTCCTCGGTCCCTCTCATCCTTCCCTTACATCCTTGTGCAATCCATTCTCAGGGCAAGATCGGAGTGTGTTCGCCAGCAGTATGACTCTCATCCAGGACCGTAACGCTAGAGGCAACGCATCCAAGCCCTACACCTTCCGCTTACAATTTGGCTGCAATCAATTCCCGAAGGAGGTGGCCGGCAACTTCACGACCACGTACACGCTGGATCATATGGATAAACATGCCGGTTGTGGTTTCGCCACGCTTTTCACCGATGATGCGTGCAAAGAGGGAAGATACAAAACGTGGGCAACATCGTACTATTTCAAGATTGCAAGAGCATTTACGTAAGTGGTCGATGAAGATGTAATGCAATCGGCCTGCTGTAATACACACATCAATTTGCACTTTGCGTATCACCATACCATGTAGGTGAACCACTATACCATGCAAGCCACCTTGTCCCCAATACCATCCATCACATTTATTGCTTCTTTTGACATTTATTCATGTTCTTGTCCACCTCATTTGAGTCCATCTCATACGTTGTTTCCTCTGGTGTATATCTGCTGTCTATGTTCCTTCATCATCAACCAGGAGCGCCTCGCCTGAGCCAGGACGATCTATCATATGTTTTCCCTATTAATACTTTGAAGAACGAAAAGCGTGCCTGACTGATAGCTTGTGCAGCCGATGGTGTGTTTTTCGATGTTGGAATAATATAGATATTAGCATTCCAGTATCAACGCAGAAATTAGACCGCAATAGTGAACTGTCTAGGTTGATAACAATCTCCTACGGGTCCGTTTAGTCGGAAGGAGCCCGTTTACGCGCTCTCTGTTTCAGAGAGAGGCTGAGATCTCATTCTTGTATTCCCTCGTACTGTTAAGGGCCAAAATTGTTATCCCCTCATCTCCTAGGGGGGCTACCCCCTGCAAGTGTGATACTGAAATGCATGTGATAAGCTTTGTAGAATAAGGTAATGTACCCCGTTTGTGGGTATATTCGTTTGCTGCCACCTTTGGCTCCAAGGAGAATCTGTGCAACAGGGTCACGAGTTCTAGTCATGTGTAGGCCGCTCAATGAAAATTGGTGCGAACTGCACGTGGGTCATGTCATGTCGTGATGCTGACGAGGCAGCGTGTCCCGACGGGGCAGTGTCATTTGATGGGGACGTGTGTCAGTTAGGTTTGGTGGTTTGGTTTGGTGTGCCTCAAGCCGTTGGGCAGTTGATTGAACACATTCAAAGCAACCACAGCCACAATGTTCAATAATTGAGGAGGGGGTACAGTACGTGTGGCTGATGACATTTCGAGTCTGGTGGGAAATTATCCAGACTCCTTGTCAGTGGTTACTGACGGAGGAAGCCCCATAGTGACCAATCACGATAAATCAGTCACTAAGTCCGCTTCCCAATGCCGCCGATCTTGCTGACCGTTTCATCTAAATCTCTTGCGATTGCGACCAACAGCTGAAGCGACGGCCCGCAGCGCCATAAGAGCTTCCTCAAAGACTCTTTTACGTAAACCCTTGAAGAACTCAAGTCTGTTTCGTAAACTACCGACTTCAATACAAATTCGAGAAGGCTTGTTTTGATTTCCCACCAGCACACCCCAACAAGAAGAATTCACTTCCGGGAAAATTCTGCGCTTAGCTGCACAACCAGATTCACGTGAAGTAACCCACACCGTTTCCACCAGCACCCATGCGCCCTCCACCACACCACCCACCCAGACTGACCAGTGTCCAACAATTTGGCTCCCCCACATCTCATGGGCTCGTCTTCGCCTCCTCGTCATCGTGAAGCTCTCAGCTCAGCAGCGGAATGCCATTCGTCCCACCTGCCATTTGCTGCCCGGTTACCAGCTCCATCCAACCACCTCTCACCTCCAGATACCTGTCAGATCGGAGCACCCACAATGAGGGAGGGAAGGGAGTTTTGAGTTTGAAGGCCCTTAGTTGCTCAGCTTGGCGTCTTCTCTTCCCTCCTCGCTTCTAGGTTCACTCTTCTGACATCGCTTGCCTCGCCCTACCTGCTCTGGCCTCGCCTCGCCTGGCCGCCTTTGCTGGGCAACATTGCTCACATCACATGGCTGCCTGCTTCCCTGCCATCACTTCGCACCATCCATTCGTTACAGTGCTTTTGCAGCAAGGCCGTTTCCAGTGCCTCTTTCTCCTCCGTCCATTCCTACCAACCAAAGCCACTTAGGCTCAACCCACTCGGAAGTTGTGGCATTGGTGGAACTCCTAGGTTTGTCTCACCCCATCCAGGGAAACCCAAGCATCTCGTTCACGATAGATTGCTTGCAGCGACTTGGCTTGGTCGAAGGAACCCTGTTCCCACGGCAACCTTGGTGTTCGCTGGCTGGAAACGATCAATTTTGTTCTGGCGGGCTGGCTAGTTTCAATAAACGTCCACCGCAACAGGAAACGTTATCCGGAAAACTTCCTCCGCATTTTCAGTCCACTTCTGATTCTCCCAGCAGAGGAGGTTCCGCTCGTGCCTCGTAGATTAATCCGGCAGATTTGTTGCTGGCCACTACTCTAACTTGGATTAGCCATGACGTTTTCCCAAATGAGCTTTATGGACGCCCTTCGAGTCGCCTCGAAGACAAAGGATGCGCCGTCAGCTTGGCTCCCGAGCCGCCAGTGGCCAGCAGAACTGACGGACCCTGCCTTTTCGCCGACCGTCAAGAAACAGAAGCCGTGCACGTTTGAACCGTACGAGCCGCCGCATCTCACGTCGCTCTCCGCTCCCGACGGTGCTGCGCGAGTCGTTTCATCGCCGTCGTGTTCCGTTTCATCTACGAAGCTCCTCGTAATGCCGAGCCGGCCGTTCCGTCTCGACTCGCCTGCGTACGGCTCTTATCGTGAAACAACTTCCCAAACGCTCGAAGTTGAATCGGACCCTCCGCTCCTTCGCGCCATGTCGACGCCAGCACAACCATCTCGCAGCAGTGCACTCCGTGATGTCTCCCCGCTTCGGTTGGCCGAGCCGCCTCTGCTACGAACGTCCACGTGTCGTGCCGCCACTAGGAGTTCGCTTTCCCGAGCCGTTTTGGGGAATCGTATTGGTGAACTCGCTACATCCTCCTCTGAGCCCTTTTTGTCTTCTGACAGCGAACTTCCGAAATCGTCGTCGTCGAACCAGCTGACCAGCCAGGTCAATTTTCAAAAGAGCAGGGCGAAACGCGAGTTTTCTTCGTGTAATGACTTTACCAGCTCTTGTTCGCTTAGCTCGTGCTCAGAATGGGCGGATCCCTCGGCGCTCGCGTCGTCATTGCGCGGCGAAAAAGCTGGGCGCTCCGTGGCTGACTTGTTGGATCCAGGGCGGGTGCTGGTGCCAGAGCTGGGGAAAGCTGTGCGACTTTTGCGAAAGAAATTGTCACAGGAGCGACAACATCAGCAGCAGAAACGCGCAGCTCCGCTATCTATGACGACATCAGCACAAACAAAGCAGAATTCGCAGCCGTCGCAAGCGCTTTGTGAGAAATCGCTGAAGTCATCGCAGAATTTTCCCGCGAAAGACCCGGCGTCGTCTGCTTCGGTCCCAGCGGAGGGAAATCACAGCCGAAAATTCAGCCTGCCCAAAATTTTGCAGTGGGAGGAGGAAGTCTCTACGAAGGGCGCGAAGCAGCAGTCCGAAGGGACCTCGGGGACGAAAATTTCTTGCAAAATCTCAACTTGCGCGGGCGATAGGTTGGGGGAGGTGGGAGCAGCACTGTGCGGGGATGCGCAACCAATCCGCGCGGTTGCGGAAGGGTTTGGCGGAGAAGTGCTCGACGAAGATAAGCTGTGCATTCACGAGCTTCTGGGGCAAATCACAGGCGAGTACGAAGGTGGCGTAGCGGGAGCCGCGAAGGTGGAAACGGCGGAACGTATGGAGTGCGACGATCAAATTGGCTTTGTGTCCAATCACAACGTTCCTTCGCCTATTACACCGTTACCAGCACCAGAAGCAAGCATCTCGGCTCCGCAAAAATTTCGCCGGAAGAGACCACCTCCTCCTCCCCCGCTGGTCGATGTTGCCAACGTGGCACGTGCTGCTTTCGCTGAAATGTGTACCTCGGAAGGCGGTGTTTCCTCCTATTCTCCACATGAAACGTTAACAGCAGTAGCAGCAGCAGCAGGAGGAGCAGGAGCAGTGGTTACACCTCCAGTTGAAGCATCAGCTGCTGCATCAATAGCAGCAACAGCAGAGCTACCATGCCCCACACCTACAGGCTGGGGAACGAACCAATGGGACCAATTCTTAACTGCCGAACCACCCACTCCTTCAGTCATAGGACCTACTGCAGGCTCTGTGGTTTGTGCTGGAGGCAATGCTACTGGTGGCGGTGGCGTTGGTACTGCTGGTGGTGGTAATGGTGGTAACTGTGGTGGGTTTGCCTCTCTGTGGTCAGAGGCATGGACAGAGGGGTTCAATGTGGATCTGTCTGGTTTGACTGGCAACCCTGCCTTGTGGTGATGACAATAAGAGCTGATGGTTCAACAATGAGCCACCACTCCCCTGATGGCTCGCTCTGCATGCAACTCCCTCCCCACTCCTGTGGCCTACTGCTTCCTTCAGCTCTTAACAACATTAATAATTAGCTTTCAATTCCATTTGTATTCGACAGTCTTTCTCCAAAGATTTCAATGTCAGCTTAGGTGCGTCAGATGAATTTAGATGAATTTAGGTTAGTAAAGAAATGGATAATCGTGGAGACGTTCGTAACACGATGGTACCATAGGTTTCGAGGGTGACCTCGCGAATTCGCGGGTCCAGTTTCTCCAAATGCCCCTGTCACGGCCAACGCACATGGCACACCAAAGCAATAATGTCGCGCCTCGAGACCATCCCCCCGCACCGCAACCTAGCACCAATAATTTCGCAAGTCACAACGAAGCAACATCTCCCAAGCAGGGAGACCTATGCATCAATGCCGCTGCTAGGAATAGTTGACACCAATAATTGCTCCGACTGCTTCGCCACGCCGCTAGAAGCGACGTTGCCATGATTCGCGCCGCATCTTCCGTTCCTCTCGCCTCGCCAGCCTTTACCCCTCTCATCTCGAATTCCATCCCAATAATAAAGGTCATGTCACAGCCGATTTGTCACCATCCAGTGCGCCTCATAGATGTTCAAAGATCTCGGGATTCCTCCTTTGTAAACAATCACTTTGCGCAGGGACATCTCACTATCCCCCAAGTATAATTTAGCCCGATTGCACAAAGGAATCAGCATGGCTCGCTTCTCTGTGTTCTTGTCTCTCGCGGTTCTCATCGCTTTCATCCTCGCGCTTTCCTATTGCTCGCCTGCAGAAGGCCGACTGGTTATCCCGTTAAGAGGTAAGCCGCCAATCGCGTACGTTATGAGTGTATGAAGCTTCTGCGATTTCCTCTGTGACTACTGTCGGAGGACCTAAGGTCGGACTTTTGAAGTGAATTGCGCACTTTATGATGACGGCATATGTGCATGCTCCACAAAGCCTAGTTGACAGATGCTCGGATATTTATGATTTACATTTCTGCTTTCTGTGCACCTGGCAGGTGATGTAACGAAGATGCAGACTCAGCCTACATTCCCGACGACCGGCGGAATGAGGCGTCTGCTTGATGGGGATAATGATGACGATGATGATGTCGATGATGATGATGACGATGATGATGACGAAGACGATGACGATGATGATGATGATGATGATGATGATGATGATGATGATGATGATGATGATGACGATGACGATGACGAAGACGACAATGATCACGACCATGACAACCATGGCGACACCCCCAGTGATAATAATGCAAAGGACCTCAGCAAATGCGTGGAGGAGTATAAGCGTGCCGTGCAGTGGTGCATGGTGAAACCCTTGAAGGACGAGTGTGATAAGCAGGCTTATAAGGCGTACGAGGAGTGCAAGAGGAAGAAGTGATATTGAGGGGTTGGTGACATCGCAAGAGAGAGCGGTGCAGTAAGGAATTCAAGGAGGTAAGTGGAAGGTAGAGGGCAGCAGACGGTTGGAGCGTCAGGAAATAAATGGACGGCACATCAGAGTAACGCGGAGCCGTAGATGCGGGTGTTCAGACACTGAGCTGAACACATTCTGCTTCTGATGAAAATAGCAATAATGCAGTAAATGAATAGTAATGCTGAATTTATTGCTGATGATCATCTGGCTGGTCAAGCTTTCCTTTTGACGCTGGAAGCCGCCTCAAAAGTATCCCCTATCTCTTCCAGTGACAACCCCTTGGTTTCAAACACACAACAATAGACAAATGCTATGGAGATAAAGCACACAGAGCCAAAGAAAAGGTACACCCCACTGACCCCAACCAGTGCTGTTGCCGGAAGGAAGAAGCACCCAACACAAAAGTTGCACACCTGGAAAGAGGGGAAGAAACAGAATATAGGGGATGACGTGGCAGAACTAGGTTTCTTTAAACAAACCTGGCTAGAACAAGCATACAGCTGGCCACGGCCGACAAAGAAGAGCCAACATACCCAGTGAACAGCCATGCTGAAGGCCACTCCTGCAGCTCGCACTTGCAGGGGGAATATCTCGGGGAGCAACAGGCTGGGGATAGGACCCACCCCACAGGAGAATGCTGTGACGTACCTGCAGTCAGGTTATGATGGAGAATGAAATGGTGGAAAACAGACAAGTTATATTTCTTTTTTTGAGTTGACTAAACGACTCCACAGGAGAATGCTGTTGCTACTTGTATACCATGCTGCTGCATATCTCTTGTTCATATTTACGTCATGATGGGCCAACATGAGCAAGCGAGAAGTCGTATCAGTTTTGGGAGCATGTCATGGTGCATAGAAATGCGACACTGTATCTGCAAATTCTTACTTGCTTTTCCATGCATTTGTGATAGTAACAAACGCAGGAGCATAAATAAATGTGTAGTGGCAAAAGATAGAGCAAAAGATGTGCTTATCTCACGTGATTGTGCCGATAATGGAGAGAAGTGGTGCACGGGGTTGCAGGCGAGGCCAGGATAGGACCGCCGAGAGGAACAGCATAGAGCATCCCTGGAGCAACGCCATTCATGGATTTGGCGGGAGACAAACAAGGGAGGGAGAGGAAGGGAGGGAAAGCAAGGGAGGGAGATGAGGGAAGGAAGAAAAGGGAAAATGACAGATTCAAAGAGAAATAAATTCTGAATCTTTGGTTTGAGCACATGACCTGAGCTTCTGAAAGTTCTTTAGTGGAGCGATAGCATTTGCCAAAAAGAGGAGCATCAGAGATAATGATTGGAAAAAACGATTGGGGCACTTGTGCACTCTGAACTGCACTGCACTGCACTGCACCACTCTGAACTGCACTGAACCGCACTGTGCTTCTGTACCATGCCAAGGAAGGAGAGCAGCAGAAGGGGCTTTCTCCCTGCCGAGTCAACCAGTCGCGCTGCCAGCAGCACAGCTGATGGGATGAAGGGACGGGAACGAGAGAAATAAGAGGAACGAGAGAAATAAGAGGAACGAGAGAAATAAGAGGAACGAGAGAAATAAGAGGAACGAGAGAGATAAGAGGAACGAGAGAGATAAGAGGAACGAGAGAGATAAGAGGAACGAGAGAGATAAGAGGAACGAGAGAGATAAGAGGAACGAGAGAGATAAGAGGAACGAGAGAGATAAGAGGAACGAGAGAGATAAGAGGAACGAGAGAGATAAGAGGAACGAGAGAGATAAGAGGAACGGGAGAGATAAGAGGAACGAGAGAGATAAGAGGAACAAGAGAAATGGGAGCAACAAGAGGTTGGAGGAGAGTACATGGGAGAGACACGGGAGGTGAAGAGGCTGAGTACCTGGAAACATTATAATCAGTGCGAGTTTGAAGTTTGAACAGGACAATAAGGGCAGAGGCAGCACTACAGGAGGAGAAGCCAGCAACTCGAAATGAAGAACACACACGGGGCGGAGGGGATTTTTCAGTCGAATCAGAAATCGCATGTCAGTGACGGCTCACACATACATAGGAGGGAAAGAGGCGGGAAAGGAGGAGATGTTACCTGCTAGTTTGAACGAGGCGATCAGGACAGAGGCAGCAATGCCGGAGGAAAACCTAGCAGAGCGGAAGGCGTGAGAGGAGAAGTAGACAGAAAAGACATAGAAGGGAAAGAGGCGGGAAAGTAGGAGATGTTACCTGCGAGTTTGAACGAGGCGATTAGGACAGAGGCGGCAATGCCAGAAGAAAACCCAGCAGAGCGGAAGACGTGAGAGGAGAAGTAGACGACCGCGTTGATGCCTGCAAACTGCTGCAGGGCGAAGAGCGTGGGGCCGAGGAGGAGCACTGCATTGGGTGGAGGGTGATGGTAGTTGGATAGAGGGGATGGGCGGGAGGTGGTTGAAGGTAGCTAAGGACAAGCATGCAAGGAGAAGTAGACGACTGCGTTGATGCCTGCAAACTGCTGCAGGGCGAAGAGCACTGGGTTTAGCAGCAGCACTCTGAGAGGGCGAAGGAGGGAAGAAGTGATTTGAGGCAGAGAGCGAGACACGCAGAAAGAGACCTCTTCCCCAACCCCCCTCACATCTTCCCCAACCACCTCACATCTTCCCCAACCCCCCTCACATCTTCCCCAACCACCTCACATCTTCCCCAACCCCCCTCACATCTTCCCCAACCACCTCACATCTTCCCCAACCACCTCACATCTTCCCCAACCACCTCACATCTTCCCCAACCACCTCACATCTTCCCCAACCACCTCACCTCGCAAGTATCTTGGATGAAAGAGAGAGGCAGCAGCGGGCGGAGCAGAGCGGCTGCTGGTGAGCAAAGACGACCTTTGACTCAACTCAGGAGTCACCTCCTCCCACCTATCCCTCACCTCCTATCAACCCCCTCACCTCGCCGGTATCTTGGATGAGGCAGCAGGGGGCAGAGCAGAGCGGCTGCTGGTGAGCAAAGGCGACTTTTGACTCAACTCAGGAGTCACCTCCCCCCAACCCGCTCACCTCGTCGGTATCTTGGATGGAAGAGAGAGGCAGCAGGGGGTGGAGCAGAGCGGCTGCTGGTGAGCAAAGGCGAGTGAAGGGCGGAGCTGGTTGCATCAGCACCATGCTTTTGAAGCACCTCAACAGCAGAGGAGCTTCTGGTGGAGTGCAGCGCGGTGATGCTGGGTGCACCAGCAGCATGCTCACGAGGCACCTCAACAGCAGAGCAGCTTCTGGTGAGGTGCAGGGCGGTGCTGCTGGGAGCATCAGCAGCAGCGGATGTGAGTGCAGAGGTGGCAAGTGGGTGTGTCGACATGAGCTCCTGCAACACCTCTTCTGCCCCCTCCGTTCCTCTCACGATCACTGCTGCCCGCGCTGCTGCGTGCAGGCTGTGGTGCTGGTAAGTAGGGAGGGGAGGATGGGCAGAGAGCAAGAGGGAACGGGCAGAGAGCAAGAGGGGACGGGCAGGGATCGGAAGGGTAGGAAGGACAAGGGGAGGGAAGGCGAGAGAGTGGAATTTGGAGCAGTATTGAGAACTTTCAACTATCAACAGACAGGGAGGGCACAGCAGTGGCATTTCGTGAAGGGCATATAGCGCTTGTACTTGCCAATGTACAAGTTTACCTACCTACCTGCAGCAGCAAACGTATCAGCAGCAGCAGCCAGCGGGGAGTCTCCACTCCAGTGCCACGGTTGCCATGCCGAGCAGCAAGAGACAGGGAGGCACAGCAGCGGCATTTCGAGAAAGGGAAATTTTGAGTCGACTCAAAAGCCACCTCATATATGGCGCTTGTACCTGCCAATGTACACGTGTACCTACCAGCAGCAGCCAGCGCGGCGTCTCCGGTGCAGCAACTGCCATGCCGAGCAGCAAGAGACAGGGAGGGAGAGCGCCCAGGATAAACATGCCCCGCCACCTGCAGACACAGGGGTGCAAAGGGGTGAAAAAGGGGTGAAAAGGAGTTTTGTGGGCGCAGCCAGTGGGGGTTCTTTGGTGCTGTCACTGCCATGCCGAGCAGCAAGAGACAGGGAGGGAGAGCGCCCAGGAGAAACATGCCCCGCCGCCTGCAGACATAGGAGTGCAGTACGGTGAAGGGCGGTTTTGTGAGTGGGTAGCAGCCAGCAGAGCAGCAAGAGGCAGGGAGGTATAGAGCCCAGGACAAACATGCTACGCCACCTGCAGGAACAGGAGCAGGAATTGGAATACAGTGCGGTGAAATGCGGTTTTGTGAGTGAGCAGCAGCCGAGGGGCAGGGGGGTGGGGGGGGGGGGGGGGGGGTAGGGGTTTTGATGCTGCCACTGCCATGGCGAACAGCAGAAAGGAACACCACCTGGCATGTTTGGCATGGAGGTATAGAGCCTTTTTGTAGAGCCCAGGACAATCATGCCACGCCACCTGCAGAAAGAGGAGAAGAGCCTTTTTATGAGGAAGGGGCAGGGGAGGCAACTCAGAAAACCACGTGCAGATGAGAACATCTTGAGGCACATGAAGGAGCCACATGAAGGAGCCACATGAAGGAGCCACATGAAGGAGCCTGCACGTTTCAGACGTCTCAAAACGCGAAAGGTTGAAGGCTGAAGGCTGATTTGAATCTGCGAAAGCAGCGGTTATAAATGATTTTGGCGCGGTGCAATGCGGTACTGCGGGGAAAAAGCAGTGCACGGTCGAGATTACATACATCCGTGTCTCACCAGCTGTGATGTTGCTCCAGCGGCAAGCCGATCAGCAGAGCAGAGAAGACGCCAACGCTGGTGGAGAGCTGCGGGAATGACTGACTTCTGTGCGGTGCAATGCGATGCTGTGAGCAAGAGACAGTCATGGTCGAACGAACTTACATCCATCCATCCGTGTCTCACCAGCTGTGATGTTGCTCCAGCGGCAAGCCGATCCGCAGAGCAGAGAAGACGCCAACGCTGGTGGAGAGCTGCGGGAATGACTGACTTCTGTGCGGTGCAACGCGATGCTGTGAGCAAGAGACAGTCATGGTCAAACGAACTTACATCCATCCATCCGTGTCTCACCAGCTGTGATGTTGCTCCAGCGGCAAGCCGATCAGCAGAGCAGAGAAGACGCCAACGCTGGTGGAGAACTGCAGGAATGACTGACTTCTGTGCGGTGCAATGCGATGCTGTGAGCAAGAGACAGTCATGGTCGAACGAACTTACATCCATCCATCCGTGTCTCACCAGCTGTGATGTTGCTCCAGCGGCAAGCTGATCAGCAGAGCAGAGAAGACACCAACGCTGGTGGAGAGCTGCGCCAACGTGCCCCACGTGCCCCGCGATGAGGTGGGGGTTACCTGTGGTGGTGGGGATCGGTTGGGTGGTGGGGATCGGTTGGGTGGTGGGGATCGGGGGTTACTGCAGTTGGGTGTGGGCCAACAAGAGAAGGAGCGGCACAGAGGATTCCCGTTTGAGGTTGATAGGGCCAGCAATTAGAGGGAGAAAGTAGGGAGAAGGAGACGAGGAGGGCTGAGCCAAGAATTGGTCACTAGAAGAGAGGAGATAAGGCCACTTCCATAATACCAGATATGTTGAAAAGAATAACTCAGAATAGTACCTCAGAGGTACAGCACGGTTGCTCAAACACTACCTCTGATATGTAGAGAGGAACAGTGCCAGATACGATCCCCAGCCCAATTCCAACAAGCGCTCGGCCAATCACCATGTGCCACGTGGCAGATGCTGCAGCACTGCACTGCAGAGGGTTGGAGGGAGTTGATAGGTTGAACAGAGTGTGGTTCAATGCGGTTCGATGCAGTGCATGACCTATGATCAGGTGCAATGAGGTGCAATCAGAGGTTGACATGGAGAGCATGAATATGTGAGAGGAAGGGAATGTGAGCAGCACAGGGAGCGGGAGTTACATGGGGGAAGGGAGCGGGAGTTACATGGGGGAAGGGAGCGGGAGTTACACAGGGGAAGGGAGCGGGAGAGACAAGTATAGAAAATAATTCTTGAACATACTCAGGGAAAACGTTTCACTTCAACACAATAAGGCACCACCAATTGTACATTGCTTTCTTCTGCATTCAACCCTCCCATCCCCACTTCATGGCCCACTCCTTTCCCCCCTCTCTTTCCCCCCCCCACTTTCCCCCCTCTATTTTCCCCCGCGCTTTCCCCCCTCTCTTCCCCGCCCCAACCTTCCCCCCTCTCTTTCCCGCCTCTCTACTTTTACCCACCCTTTTTTCCCCCTTCCACCCAACAACCCGAATCCCTTCCTTCAACCACGTTTGAACGTTCTCCCTTCCGCCACACACCTGAGCAGCGATCCAGCAATGAACGGCAGGGATGCAATCTGAAACGCCCGCCTCCTCCCTGCCACGTCAGCAAGCCACCCACCCAGCGGCGCCCCCACTGCTGCCAGAGCCAATGGGATACTCACAACCAGCGCTGGTATGGATCGATGGCGGGGGGAGCGTGGGGTGGAACAGAGGTGAACAGGTCGAAAGAAATGCAGAAAGATGACAGAAGTGTGAGGGGGGAAAGGGGTGGGGGGGAAGAGAAACAGGGTGTTAACTCAAAAAGCCACCCATCTAGAAGGAAGGTAGTAGACGCATTGATAAAATATCCAACATTGTACTTACTCATTTGCTTGTGAGTGCAACTACTAGCTTACATGCTGCAATGCTGGTTGCGGGTTGGTGTAGGTCAGCAAGTAGGAAGGGGAGAGAGGCGTTGATGACACTGGGAAAGGAGGGAGGGGATGGAATGGTGATTGCATAATCACTGGACTGGAATGACAGGCTATAAAGCATGTGAGGGCAACTTACGAAATGAACATCAGACATGCGACAAAGAACAATACGCACAGAGAAGGATAAATTACTGGTTGTGGAAAAAAAAAAAACAGAAGAAGAAAGAAAGAAAGAAAGAAAGAAAGAAAGAAAGAAAGAAAGAAAGGAAAAGAAACGAAATGGTACCTGACATGGTAACCAAACGAGAGACCCCCACAGCAGGCGAAGAGAACAGGCAGCGCCACCCCCACCCCTCCGTACCGTCCCTTCCCCACTGCTCTCCTCCCCAATCCATAGCTCCCCCCTCCCAGCACTCGGTCCCAGATCACGCCTTTCGAATCTTTCCTCCTGGTACAAAGAAACGGATCTTCAACTGCTGCTGGGTCAACCATGCCTAACCATGGATGGCTCGATTCCTTCGCGACACAAGGAAACGGTTCTGTAACCGCTGCTGCTGGTGCTGCTGCAGGTGCTGGTGCTGCTGCAGGTGCTGGTGTTGCTGCAGGAGCGGGAGAGGCTTGAAGCAGAGCCAATGGGATTTCAGAAGAATGAAGGTGTGTGAGTGGGGTCGGCGAGAGGGGGGCCGTGCGTGGAGGCAAGGGGAGCGATGCTGCGAGAATGAGCTTGTGGAAGGGACGGTCCTCCTCGGGAATCGATTCTCCATCGCCATTGGCTGCCATTCATGAGTGAGTGGGGTGGGAGAGGGGAGGGAATGCGTGGATTTAAGGGGAGTGATGCTGCGGAATTAGCTTGTGGAAGGGACGATCCTCCGCGGGAATTGGCTCTCCGTCGCACAGATCAACCCACCATTCCATCCATGATCCATCCAATGTCCCACTATGCATCCATGCATTCATGCATCCGACAGCAGACACAAAAATTCGTCAAGCGGAAGTGTTCAGAAAGCTGGTAGGGATCACATGGCGAAAGCCTTCATATTCTGGCTCATCAGTCTTCATAGTCGCTGGGTCCGTACCTCCTCCCATTCCAATTAAATGACTAATGGCTGTCGTTCTATGCCTCGCAGGCGCTGCGAATTCCCGACTGCTGCTGCTGCTCGAGGCACCTCTCGCATTATCGATGCTGCTTCCAGCGAGTACATCCCGAGGATAGCCATGTCTCATGCTGCTGTGGCAATTCCCTCCCACGGTCTCCGCTTTCTGCGATAACCCTAATTTCAAAACAGCAAATGTCGCCTACACGTGTGTTTCCTTACGGCTCCGTTATGATCGAGTTTACGTACTCGAGCGTTACGGATCATGGACTTCGAATTCATGCATTCCGCGAAACTGGAATATCGGAGTGAGCCTTTGGCAGACCCGATTGAAGGATACGAAATTCCTCGCTGCAGTCAGTCGCGCTCCAGTTTATCCGTTTGTGCGCGTTGATTAAATATTGTGCACCACTTTGTTCTGCAGCGCAATGTTATTGTGTGGCTTGCCCCAAAACTTGCCTGTTTCAAATGTACACACGTGTACAGTAGTTCAATCAGCCTTGATGCCCAGCTCGGAGTCTACTGTACTTGGGGCCTTGTTCTGTTGCCGCACCATTTGGTGCGGACCCCCCCGGACAGCACCAAACTGATGCTTCTTCCGGGGTTCTACCGGAGATCCCAAGAGCTTCGGATATGAGGGCGTATTCCTTGATAGCAGGCTCGGGAAACTGAACCTTTCCCGGACCTAATGAGTTCAGTGCTGTCCGCCCACAGAAAAGAACGGTGAACCAGTGACGCACTCGCAATCCCCCGCCCCCAGGCAAAATGGGTGAGGGGCTGGTGCGCCCCTGGTTCAGTAGGGGATCCAGAGTCCGCACTAAGTGGTGCGGGGCAGGGAAAAAAAGTTCTCCTCTGTCCTGGTTGACCCCTGCCATCCAACCCTCCAATGGTCGGTGATGAGAGGAGATTTTTCGGTCTGCGAAGGAAAAAAACATTGTCCTGTAAATTGCGCGGAGAGGGACAGAAAGATAGCGTGAGCCTTCAAAAATATTGATGCGCCCCGAGCCTCCTGCCGCACCATGTGACGCGGTGCAGTCCTGTCTGCCCCCGCATCAAGTGGTGCGGCAATAGAACACCGCCTGAATTGATGTCATTCACACATCAGCGTGATGGAGCAGGCACAGACAGAGTGCAGCGCCACGTGGGCCATTGTCCATCACGAAACGGACGCACGTGATTTACTGTCTCGCTGGGTTTGTTTATTTCTATATTCCAACATCCCCTCTCGAAATATTATTAGACGACTGGATAGCCCTGGCAAGGACTTTAAACATCAAAGAAGGTGACTTATTTTGGGAGCTTCTGTGCAGAGCTGGTCAGAGCGCCAGTTTTGCAGAGTGTGAGACCCCTGTAAAGTTCTCGCTGTTAGGAGGAAAACAGCTTGACAGGGCGGGAGGAGGAGAGGGCTGTACTGATGAGTTGAGTTTCGCTTTTGTCGAGCTGTAAACGCTACTCGGCTTGATTTCTTTTCCAGGGTCCCAGTTGGAACTTGGGAGGAATCCAGGTCAAGCACTCCCTCCATAACTTGGATCTTTCTAGCCACGCAAGCAAGACGGTCAAACGAAATATCCAACTCGTCACTCAGCACTGTCCAGCCAAGTCACGGTCACGAAATACCCAATCGATACTGAATCACGACTGCTGGAAACGCAAGCCCATCACATCTTCCTCCACCCGAACCTCCTTATCTGCTCAACCGTCCAATTAAACCCAACCTAATCGCTACAGAACTTTACAAAACGTTCAACAACCCATCTGACCATCTCCTTACCCTCCGCATCATCTACCTCGTCATCTCCTTACCATCCATACCCCCCGCACCACCGAATTCCATTCCGCCCAGTTGCCCACTCTCTACCGCCGAACGAATCTCGTTCAAATCCCGTTAGGGCGTGTGTAGTTCCGAATAACGTCCTAGGCTCACATTTTAGAATCGTGTGCAAAATAATCTTAAGTCGAATGTTGAGTCACATTCGAAGTGAACCTGGCTCGAACCATGCTTAGTAATTTCAGTTGAATCACGCACTAGCACGGGGTCCCGGCTGGGTTCGGACACGAGAGTTGAACCTACTGCGAACGCGACGGGCCGCGCGTAGGCGACCTAGGGTACCCGGTTCGTGTTCTTGACATCGCGCCACGTCGGCTGGTTGCGATTCGGTTCTGAGAGGGTTACAAATAGCCTCGTGGTCATCAATGCTGGCTCGTGGCTCGTTGATTGTTGACGAGGCTCAAAATGTTCGTCAGAAGGGCTCGTGCAGCTCGCAAGGTTTCTCGCAAGTCGCCAATTTGTTGCATGTGCACAAAAGCGCACAGGTTCACTTGAACGTGCGCACGCATGTTCAGGCATCGATTCCGAGCCCGTTCGGAATACGTTTACACAAAGGCGCGCAGTTCATATGTTTTTTTTTTCGCAAGGATGCATCTCCGAGATTGTCGCAGAATGGTAACCCTATTCAGTTCGAACTGTGTCATGAACCTGAAATCAATTTACACGCGCCCAATAACTCGCCCACAGCCACATTCCACTTGCGAACAAGCAGAGACACTTGCGTCATTACCCCTCCGTCCATTGAATCTCAGGTATGCTTGTGTCCAGAGATTCAGCAAGTCTTTCTGTGTGGAAGACGAGTCACAACAAGATAAGGCCAGTTGCATCCATTGCCCAGCACGAGTTTTGGTCGAGCCGGGCCGGGCCCGGAAGCAGCGGATGTACGGAACCGAAAAATGGTTCAGCACGACTGCCAGTGGCAGTTACAGCTGCCATTATCCACTGGACAGCCGCTCAAACAAGCACGAGATCAGCAAGCAAGACTCATCTTCGAAATCTTGAGTGAGACTGTTCCTCCAGTGTTTGCTCGTCCTTGCTCCGAAGTCTCTTCACCGTTTAGTCAGCGAGAATTGCGCGAAGAACAAATGCCGCGCGAATGCGGGAGTCACCTGTCAGATGCCCCGTCAACGTAGCTCGATTCGCTAAAAAACTTTCACTCAGCAGCAGAACCACCCGTTAACCACCTCCCGTCTGCCTGACCCTAGGAAACGTGTGATGCGCAGCGAGAGCTGATTCTTAAGGTAGCAGTCAACGAATCAGAATGATCCCGTCAGCCAGGTCAATCCATGCCACCGACTGGCAGTAGACAGCACAGCAACGCAGCACGCGACCCATTCCTTATTTTGCGACGGTGAGCATGAGATGCATTTTTTTTTTGGCGAGGAAAAGCACGTACCTTGACGGAATTCTCCCCTCGTGGTATTCTGCAATGAACCCGCTGCGGTACCGCACAGAGAGGGTTGCTAGCAGTAATAGTACTCACGTGCTTCTAGTACTACGATCTGACGTCGTGCTCTTGTCGCGTTTGCTTCCCCGTCCTTTCGATACAGCAAGTCAGCAGGATTCGCAGTTCCTGGATTGAGATTCCATCGTAAATTCGCAATGTATCCGTGATGAATCTGCTGAACTACTGATACCTCCACTACATGCTGCGTAGTACAGTTCGTCGCAAGAACTCAGATCTCAGAAACCGTCGGTCGTCCGCCGGTACTATGAATGGAGCCGTCTCGCGGCGACTTACGGCTCGCGCTCCGCTCCGATCTCCGCCTTCGCCGCTCCGGCCGCTTGGCGGAGCGCCAGCACACCGTACAAATTTTGGGTCGGACATACGGGCAGCTGAAAAAACAGTATCAGTTGGGGCCACAGCTCGGTTGCGGCGCGACGGGCTCGACGTATCTCACCCAGTGCTTGCGGCCGGGGCAGCACTATGGGCAGCTGTTCGCGTGCAAGTCGATCGAAAAAGCGCGGCTCGTAGAACCGGAAGATGTGGAGGCGGTTCGGAGGGAAGTGGCGGCAATGCAGGTGCTACAGGGCGCGCCGCAGGTGGTGCAGCTGCACGATATTATCGAGGACGAGCAGGTATGGCTGGTGCTTTTCGCCAATGCTATTTGCCAATAGTATTTATCGCCAACGTTTTTTCGCCTAACTCGCCCACCTCCCGCGGTGCATTTCAACCCTGCGATTTCGCCACGTCGCAGGCCGTCCATGTCATCACGGAGCTATGCGAAGGAGGCGACCTGTTTAATCTCCTTGTAATCAACGGCCGATTCCCGGAGCGCACGGTGTCGCACGTGGTTAAGACGGTCGCCGAGGCGCTCGTTGCCTTCGAGCGCGTCGGCCTCGTGCATAGAGACTTGAAGCTCGAAAACATCTTCGTTTCCGAGATAGCTAGTACGGAAATCTCATTTTCCGCGAAAAAACGCGGGGACAGATCTGGCGACGACTGTTTTCATGGCAACGCTTCTCAGTGTGTTCTTTCCGCTGACACACACAGCGCTTCAGACGGCACGAGACGTGTCGATTCCAAAGGCGCCTGCACTGGCGCTGGCGCTGGCGGCTTGGCTATTGATACCAGCGGTACTAGCAGCTCGTGCGCAAGCTCTAGCAGCCGTAACAATCATCTTTCGAGTCGTACTGCTAAACATGACAACAGACGGAGCGGCAGCTTCAGCAGCAGCGGCAGCAGCAGCAGCAGCAGCGGCGGCAGCAAAATCGCCGCTACACACGCTCAACTCAGCAGCTTCGGAATGAATTATTCGTCGATTAGAAGCAGCTTTTGTAACTGCGGTAGTTGCGACAGTTGCTGTTTCTGTGGCACGACTGACGTCGCGAATAATGGTAACGACTCTTCGCCTGCCGTCCTCGCTGAGCCGTTGCTTGGCAACCGCAGTGTTTCTGCGAAGTCCGCAGCTGCGACGACTGCGAATAAGGTTGAGGTGTCCAGTGGCGAGAAGCGGCGAAGTGCAGCACCTATCCGCGTTTGCGTTGGCGATTTTGGAGTGTCCGCGTTCGTAAAGCCTGGCGAAAAGCTTCATTCGGTAACAGGGAGTCCGTATTACGTAGCTCCTGAAGTTCTGGAAAACTCTTACGGGCCCCAAGCTGACGTTTGGAGCCTAGGGATTGTCGTGTATATGCTACTGTGCGGTTTCCCTCCTTTTTTTGCTGACGAACCTGATGCCATTTTTGAAAAGGTCAAGGCTGGTGGGGACGCTGACGTGTCGCAGGGTCCGTGGAGGTTGATTTCCGGGCAGGCGAAGAATCTTGTGTCAAGGTTGCTGGACAGAGATCCTGCAAAACGGATAAGGCCATCCGAGATCCTCGGTAAGACGAAAATCTTATGATCCGTTGTTGTCAGTGTTCACCTGGTAACCTGTTTGTTGTGTCCCTTTCATTTAAAGAGCTCCTAATCAATCTTGTCACTTTTTGCCCTCATTGTTTGATTCTTTCCCTCCAGAGCATCCATGGGTGCTAAGATATATATCAGCAGCAACACATTCAACTGCAGCACATTCAGCAAGGACGCCAGCAGGAACTGCAGAAGGAGCCACAGCAGCAGCTACAGCAGTTGTTCCTGTTCCCCATAGACCCTCCATCAAGCCTCCTCATCCACTCTCCATCCAGGTGACCTCTCACCACTTGCCACATGATTCGCCACGTCAGCGTTCTGTAATCTCGCCAATCCACAAGCCTGCTAAATCGCAACATCTGCAGTTGTGCACATCACCACGCCAGAACCCCCTCAGCATGCCACGTCATCAGTTTCAGGGACCAGTTGATCTTTCCGAACCCTCAGTCAACGTCCACCACACCGTCAACTCTACTCGTCCTTCAGTCAACTCTTTCCGACCCTCAGTCAGCTCCCCCCATGGGTCAGTCAACTCTCCCCAGGCCTCGGTCAACTCTCTCCGGGCCTCGGTCCACTCTCCCCGGGCCTCGGTTCACTCCCCCCGGCCTCCGGTCAACTCTTTCCGGACCTCGGTCCACTCTCCTCAGGCCCCAGTCAACTTTTCCCGCGCCTCGATCAACTCTCCTCGGGACTCGGTCAACTCTCCCCGGGCCTCAGTCAACTCTCCTCGGGCCTCAGTCAATTTCCCTCGCCCTTCAGTCCACTCCTCCCGCCCTTCAGTCAACTCGCCCCGCCCATCAGCCAACCCGAAACCAGGGGGAGTAAGCTCTAATGGAGGAGGAGGGAATAAGAATGGAAGGGGAAATAAGCGAGGCGGGTGGAGTAAGGGGAACTGCACTAGAGACGATATTCCGAGCCCAAAGGCTGATGCACAGGCTGATATACAGTCTGATTCGAATTCCGTCTTACGTATTGAAATACCTAAAAGGGCAGCAGCAGAAATAGCATCAACATGGAGGGCAGGATCAGCAGCAGCAGCAGCAGCAGCAGCAGCAGGAGCAAGAGCAGGGCCAGGGGAGAGGCCAGGAGCAGCAGGAGCAGGGGCAGGGGCAGCAGGGAGGGCAGGAACAGCACCAGGAGCAGCAGGGAGGGCAGGAGCAGGAGCAGGAACAGCAGCAGCAGGAGCAGGAGCAGGAGCAGCAGGGAGGGCAGGAGCAGGAGCAGGAACAGCAGCAGCAGGAGCAGGAGCAGGAACAGCAGCAGCAGGAGCAGGAGCAGGAACAGCAGCAGCAGGAGCAGGAGCAGGAACAGCAGCAGCAGGAGCAGCAGCAGGGAGGGCAGGAGCAGGAGCAGCAGGGAGGGCAGGAGCAGGAGCAGCAGGGAGGGCAGGGCCAGGAGCAGCAGAGAGAACAGGACCAGAAGCAAGAGCAGCAGCAGAAGTCCCTCCTGGTTGGCCATTCCTCAGATCTGCTTCTGACAGAGCTGCCATGCAGCATCAGAGTAGCCGGATTTCTAGAGTCTTCCGCAAGTCAGCTTCCATGCCTGCCGAAAGGATATCCCACGGCTCTAGGGTGCGTTCCGACCCTCTGAAACCGCGACTGGAATCGACTCCGGGGTCGACTCAAAAGCTCTTTATGGATGCAGCTAGAGCTCAAGAGGACCCTCCTACGCCCCCCATTGACTCCACTCCGGAGTTGCCTCAAAGACCCTTCATGAATTCGCACATGGACTCGAGCAAGAATTCCAACATGGATCCGAACAAGGATGCGAGCAAGCTATCCAAGAATTTGGACATGCATTCGAGCATAGATTCGAACATGAACATGCCATCCAAGTTACCCGAACCGGATCGTTGCTCTGCAGTGGAAGCTGGCAGAAGTTCCTCTGTCAAGCCTCTTTCTGAATCGGTTCTGAACGTTGACGCTCGCAAAGTCAGGAAGGGTCGTACATGCACCCAAGTCTCCTCTGGTGCATCCAATTCCTTGCCGGTCCTTGCCCCAGCTGCTTCCATGACCGAGTCACCTCAGAACGCAGATGGTACGAAAGACAGGAAGACTTGTACATGCATCCGGGTCTCCTCTGGTGCATCCAGTTTCCTGCCGGACCTCGCCCATGCTGCGCCCACGACCACGCTAACTGGTACCCTCAATGCTAACCAGGGTGCACCCAGGTCCACCCTACGTAATAAGAAGACAGCACCGAAACCACCCAAGTCCAATCTGCACCACCTGCACACCTCCTCGCATTGTCTGCCGGATAAACCGTCACTGGAGCAATCAGCAGTAATACCCTCCGGAACGCTTGTGGAGAAGCCTCTTCCTGCTGGACGTGGGGGGTTGATGCGCGATGTGCTTGTAACGAGAGGGTCGACTTTAAAAAGGAGAGTGCATCGAGCAGAGGAAGCGGTGAATGAGGAAGATGTGAAGGAAACTCTTTCTTGGTTTTCCAGCTTGAATCTACCTGATGCAAATTCCAAGGGTTCTGCTGAGCGCTCTGTGCCTGGAGCTGCTAGGGTTGTTTCAGCTGATACTGCTGCTGCTGCTGCTGCCACTGCTGTTGCTGCTGCTGCAAGTGCTGCCGATTTTGCTGCTTGTGCTTCTGATGCTGGGTTCGTTTCAATCACAATCCACCCAAGGCATCACGGTCCCCCTTCCCTGCACTCCAAGCCAGTTGCTCGCAGCTCCTCCCTCACTCTGATTCCAACTGCGTTTTCAGTCTCTCCGTGTCACTCTCGTAGCAGCTCCAGATGCAGTCTTGAATTAGACTCTTCCGACTTTCATACAATGTCCAGTATCATTGCTGCCTAATACCATTATTGCCAACCAGCAGTCATATACCTGTGTAAATGGCTTCTTTAATGTATGTTGCTTCTCATCAGTTGTAGCTACCCAATAGAGTTGGTTTTTTCGGACTGCGTTATGTGACTAGTAACCATTTACAAAGCTCGGAATATTTTCCTCATTTTGGCGACGTTGTGATGAGAGTGTGCTTCTTTCACTCTACGGAAATCGAGTCACGCGGCATATATCCTCGCTATGAGATGAGGAGAGCTAATTCCTGAAGTGTTAATTCCTCGCTTCAGTAAGCGGAGAGTCAGGAATTATCATTTCTTACTCCTTACCATGGGCATTCCCGCTACAGAGCACCGCGATTTTGCTACAACGCCGCCACCGCATTGCGCGGCAGTGCCACACATTTGGTCTCGCTTCATCGACGCTTTCGTTGATTTCGCCGTCGGCGGCCACGTGCTCGCGGGGCGTGCGAAGGATTCGCCACGGTGGACTCGGCCTGTCCAATCAGGAGCTTTCGATCCTGCCACTGACCAATCAGGAACTTCAAATGTCGACAGGGCTGCGAAACCTGAGGGTTCGGAGTCGTCTGGGACCAGAAACCAGGGGACGAATTCCGTCGGTCCAGGAGACACCGACGGGCCGCCGCCGTTAGCGACGGTGCTTCCTGCCGCGGATCGCGTGGTGGCGATTGGCGATATTCACGGCGACATCGCCAAGGCGAGGCAGGCGCTTTGCACAGCGGGGCTAATCGACGGCCAGGATCGCTGGACGGGCAAATCAACGGTTCTCGTGCAGGTTGGGGATCTTCTAGATCGGGGAGGGCAGGAACTAGCCGTTGTCTACCTTTTTGAGAAATTAAGGCGGGAAGCGAGGCAGGCTGGAGGCGCGGTGCACGTGTTACTTGGTAACCACGAGACTGGAAATTTCGAAGGCTGGTTTCGTTACGCAACGAGAGAGGGCAGAAGAGATTTTCAAAGATGGGCAGCCTGGGAGAGACTGGGGGTTGGTTTCCGGGCAGCTTGTGAGGGAGGTAGGGTTTCTCCCGACCCTCTTGCTTCGGTTTCCGAACGTGTGAGGACGGAGCTTCGTGCACGTATGGCAGCATTATCTCCGGGCAGCCCGCTCCTGCAGCGTTTTTTTGCGGGCAACCCGAGTGTACTTCGGCTGGGCAGCACAGTTTTTGTGCACGGGGGACTGCTGCCCGAGCACGTGCAATACGGTCTGGAGCGGATCAACAGAGAGGGGCAGGAGTGGATGCTTTCACCTACCCGGCGACCAGACGGGCTGCCCGAACGCGGGCCACATTTTTTCCACACAAAAAACGCAGTCGTGTGGGTTCGGGAATACTCGCACACAGACCCTTCGATCTGCGATTGCAGGCTTCTGGAACGGACGCTCGAGATGCTCCCAGGCTCGGTGCGAATGATTATGGGCCACACGATTCAGCAGCCGGGGGGGATCAACGCCACTTGTAAAGGGAAGGCTATTAGAGTGGATGTTGGGATGTCAGAGGGGTGCGGAGGGGCAGAAGCGGAAATTTTGGAGATTCGGAAGGATAGAGAGGTGTGGGTGGTGCGGGCAGCAGAGGAAGCTGCTGGGAAGCCTGCTAAAGCGCATGTGCTGGCTGGGACTGAAGTGCCTGTAGATAAGCACGGGTTCTGGCGGAAGCTGAGGGAAGCAATGGTAACAAGAGTGGCATAAAGGAAAGAAATAATTGGTTGGCCTGCTGTGCATTGGAAGTGAGTGCAGCAGGGGAGGCAGCCGGGGCAGCAGAGCAGCTAGGCCATCAGAGGAAGTTGTGGGGGGACCCTGCTAAAGCGCATGTGCTGGCTGGGACTGAAGTGCCTGCGGATAAGCACGGATTTTGGGGGAAGCTGAGGGAGGCCATGGGAACAAGAGTGGCGTAATGGACGAAAATGGTTGACATGCAGTGTATTTGGGTGGTTAGAGCTGCTGAGGAAGCACCACGCAAGCCTGCTTGACTGATTTATGAGGTGGCTGGCTGGAACTATTCGATAATCATGGGTTGTGTGGGACAGGATGAAGAATGCAGTTGGAATATCAGTTTCTGCTGAAGGAATTCGGAACAGGAAAAGAGATTTAGTTTCTGGTCACTGGTGAATAAGGGATTGTTGGAAACTCTGTACCCTTAAATACATTTCTCAAATACTCTTGCGTGAAAATACTTCTTTCAGCCAGGATGAGTGTGCTGTAACCATACCGTAGCTGCTCTGACTTGCACAACTTACCACCCATGCACTATTTAGACTCCATTCCCACTAAAACCACTTGCACGCTGCCTCCTGTTGCTGCTAGCCTGGCTGCTCTGGCTATCTTCACTTGCTTGACTAGTTCCATTTGTTCCACTCGCACTCGTCGTGCTCCCACTTGCGGTTTCACTCCCCATAGTAGCCGCCATATCCCCTCCGGTTCCTCTCAACAAATTCAGCAGCTGCGTCATGGTTGCAAAGAACAGGTCGGATTGGAAATCCGGGTTGAAAAAAGAGCCCAAGGATAAACCTCCCCCAGAAGAGCCTCCTCCAGTGCTGCTGGGGGTGCCACTGCCTAGCTGGATTGGCATGGGGACTGCTGGATCTGATGCTGACGTGGCAGCTTGGACGAGTGTGTTCACAATTTGGCTTTGGATATAGGCAGCAGGAGGCGGGGGGGAGGATGGAGGAAGGGAAGGAGAGCGAGGGGGAACAGAAGGGGAGACAGTGCGAGGAAGGGAGGGTGGGGTTGCTGGAGTGAGGGAGCTGTTGGATCGGAGGGAAGCAGTTGCTGCAGGAGAGACAGGTGGCGTTTGTGTTGTGTTTGAAGCGCTTGCGCAAGAACCTGCAGAAAGGCAGAACGGATGAAATGAATAAGGGATGAAACAGCAGGCAACTGAAAGCAAGAGAAGAGAAAGGCAGAAACAGTTCACTTCTAAAGACAAACGAGAAGTTGTTATCAGTGAAATACGTACTGGCCAGTGTTTTCAGCAGAACGCAGAGGATCAATGCTCGCCAGACAACTAGTGTGTTAATGAAGCCTTTCCCAGCCATAGTCGATGGAGTGCTTCCTGAGGAACTCAGAGGGCTGGTGCGAGGTGCTGAGGGCTTCAGAGGGGTGCTGAGGTCCTCTTCAGATTCCTGCGGGTCTTGTGCAAGATTAAAGAGCGCGAGCAATTGGAGTGACGTGTTCGTTTGCTGTCGCCTACTGAACCTGCAAAGCCAGTATGGCAAATAAATAGGTTTGCTGACGGCAAGAACGCCATGAAAGCGGATGCTGTAGATTGCTCCAGGAAGCAGGTCGCTGTCACTGTCACTGCCTGTCACGAAATGTCAGTAAAGTTATCCTAGGGTTACTGGCTGACAGCTTCTAAGGCTCCTCGTCGCTTTCTGCGTCCCTTGCGACTGTGCACGACGGATTGCGAAGACGAGAGCCGAGAATTTACGACGAAGTTCATTGGTTTTGATTTGATGTGCGGTGTGCCTGTCGTTTGTTGTCGATCGCTGGACGACGGCGGAAATTCCTGGTTCGCACATTCGACGGAAACCGTCGCCTGATTGTGACGGCAACCGAGCTCTCCAAAAACCATTCGCTGAAATCGAGCCGTCAGTCACCATCCGAGCCACCAAGAGAATGACACTCCGAAATTTCAGGCCGTGCTTTGGAATTATCGACAACGGACAGTCCAGCCTTCTAGCGCAAGTATTCAGTTTCAGGCTGCTTGTCACGTCTTGAAGTTGCCGAGAGACGTTGACTGTCGTAAAAAGCCACAAACAACTGAATTGATTCCTTTTGATTTATCGTAACAACACGTACGCAGCTTCTTCTAGCATGATTCAGCATCGCGACTAGCGATGGAACGAGCGCTAGTAGACAGAGACGGAGCAAGTCGTTTGCCTCTACTAGGATGTGATAGGAGCCATGGAAAGGTGATGTGGTTCGGATCATGTCGCTCGTCCCGCTATGGCAGGCTTGCCTCATCCATCCTCGTTTCAAACTCACGTGCCACGATTCGGTTTGTTACGCTGCGTTGCGTTCAAAAGCGGTGATGAGGGAATATCTTGCTTAGCGTGTTGATGCTCAGAAAAAACAGTGTGCACCACAACCCCTGAATATATATCGGTTATGTGGGTTTCAAACCACAACTCTTCAACTTACTATACTTGACATCCTGTAGAGTAACTGGGAAGCATGATGTAAGGAATAAAACTATGGGGCCAACATGTTGCTGTAGCATTGAGGGAAGACAGTTTATCACTGAATAATTTCAGCACAGAGAATGAAGTACATGTTCAGCAGCCTTATGATGCATTAGCTTTCTGAGCACGGCCCCTCCTGCTGGCCAGGCTACTCAAACTCGCTCTGCTGGCTCTACTCTGCCTGCTATACTCACTAGCTCTTGCACCCGCACTTTCACCACTAGAGCCTGAACCACCCCCCACAACCACAACACCTCCACCACCACCGTTCGCCAACGTGTTCCCTATCTGAGGCAAATCCACATTGCCAAACCGAACACCAGCCCTGCTTATCAGGCTGCTCAATGTTGGATCGTTCAATAAAACAGCCATCAGCTCCAGAGCGAGCTGATAAACAGCTTTTGCGGAGGTGGGGGTGGTGGAGGTGGAAGAGGTCGTGGTAATTGTAGGAATGCTGGATGAAGGAGTGTTCGGAGGAGTGGACGTTGTAGCAATTCCGTTGTTCAAGGCGCGGCGATGCTGTTGTTGGTAACCTTGTTGTGCAGTTTCAGTGACAGAATCAAATGAACCGCTGCTTTTCCAACCTGAAACGTTTGACACTGCACAGCAAACATGAAAAAAAAAGGGTTGGGGAGAAGTGAGACAACGATCTTTGAGACAGGTTAATGCTGGTGTAACAGCCAAGAGGGGGGAAATATTACAAGGGGATGAGAGATGAGTGATTCGGACGGAGAAGAGAGATTCGGAAAGATGGGGGACCAAGAGACAATTAAGGAGAGTCCCATACCTGAAAGCAGGATCAAAAGGCAGCAGGCAAAGAGGCGCATCAGCAACGCCATGGTCACGTGAGCACTTCAGGGACTTGTATGTCAGTTTCGTCAATTGCTCTCTGAATTGCAAGAGCTGCACAATGCAGTAGCAAACACGGAGAATATACGGTAGCAAATGTGAAAGACGCATGTGTATCTCGTTCACCAAGCACATATATATGAAAGACCCAGGAATATGAAGAAAGAATCTGAGAGTACTGTGTGTTTGTCCCTTCTAACTTGGAGGGCCCACCTGCACTGATTCCCACGAACTGTGACAGACACTGACAGGTGGGTGAAGGGCCAAACCTTTCCACATCCTCATCCGCTTTCACGTCTGCATCCCCATCCACATCCACATCGGAAGTGTCCACACGATTCAAAATCACATATTCGCGCATCTGTCCCGTCAACAGTCGCATATAAGCCGCCGGCGCTCCCTCCCACCATGAAAGCTATCCTGCGCCTGTTTAAATCAAATCCGCATGCGCTTCTTTCAGAGCACGACCCTCCGCCGGATAGCTTCCATGGTGGGAGGGTCGTGCTCTGAAAAAAAACGCAGCTTCCGGATCCCGACGCTATGACTGGAAGACTCGGATTCATCGTCGTGATTTGCACGCGTTACAAGCAGACGATGCTGATCCATGGACAAGAGGCACTAGTTTCGAACTGGAAAGTGACATTCCGACAGTGACCCAGATTCACTCGGTCGCTACGAGGCGTGGCATCATCCGCCTACCAATACATTACACTTGGTAGTGTCGGCAGCGCTCAGTACCGTTACCGTTTCGCTAAACGACGCTACCAAGTGAGTCAGCATTCTGCCCGCGGGCAGAAAAACTAAAACCCATTCGGACTGGATGCCATTCGGGAGCCTCAACCCTAAAATTTTAGGGTTGAGGCTCCCTCGGATGGCATGCCTTCCCATGGGGGTTTATTTTTTTTCTTACCCGCTGACTCATTGCACTGCCTGCTGACGCGTGCAGTGCAATATATTACCCGGAGGGTCATTCAAATCAGCCACATGGCAGACGTCGCATCGGGAAATTATAGATTCAGTCACAGAAACTGGCTCTATATTACGAATGGTCGTCTGGCAGTCACGAACGGTCACAGAATCTAGGATCCTATCACGGACGATCACAAAATATGGAATTCTATCACGGGTAGTCACAATGTTGCCCCACGATCTATCACGTACGGTCACACAATGAAACGCTCCGTGGAAAGTTGAAATTTCACGAGTAACTGTAGAGATTCGGGGAAAGTTATATTGTGCGCAAAAAAAGTGTTACCTCCGAGTAAGTTCGCGACCACTTTCGCAAACTCGTTCAAAGCATGAAGCAATTGTCTTTTTCCCGCAGCAGATTTGCATAATCCGTCCGCAAAAAGAAAAAAAAAACTTTTTTTTGAACCTCTTCCTGCGGACTTTAGGAATCAAACCTAAACACCTTGTCGTATGGTGTTTAGGGTTGATGCTCTCTCGGATGGCATGCCATCCGAGCGGGTTTTAGTTATTTTTTTAGGCATGCAAATTTTTGTAACCTTCGCCTCCGCGACTCGCTACGGAATTAACCAGGCAAACTAAGCATATATGACAAGACTAGTTGCCAGTTAATTGTTCATAAATCTCAACAGTTTAAGGCCGCTACAGCTTCTACACCGTGCGTTTCGTCTTGTGACGAAACGTGATAAATTGTTGGGGCAGCGTGTGACTATTCGTGATAGAAATTCCGGATTCTGTGACCATCCGTGATAGATAGCTAGATTCTGTGCCCGTTCGCGATAGCAGCGTGACTTTTTGTGATGACGAGCCCCTGTTTGTGACCGCCTATATATTAACCTCGTCGCATCGACGGAAACTCTTTTAATCGTACGGTCTGCATGTCTCTAATCCCAACGACGATGCCACGAGCATCCATCAGCCCTCTTCTCTCAGGTGCTTTCTGGATTGTACCTGTCACTTGTGAGTGATGTGACCAGCCTGGTTATGGCCAACGAGAGCATGACTACTCTGTATCGCGGAAAACCACTCGATATCCATACTTCCTAGCCCATGAATGTAAAAATTAGCGGTATATCCAACTAACATTAGCTAACTAGAAAGTTCAAGCATATAATACAATGGAATGCTCAGGGCACATGTAAATACATTAGCACTGTTATTCCAAATAGTTAAAACTTCTAACTATGCCGCCCTTGCTATAATCATACCGTTAGCCGGATGCTCTAGTCCTCCCTCTACTCGTAATCTGCTACATCACAACCCAGCTCGTTGCTCTATGCAGTAAAGCCTTCTTGACTTCCTTAGCCAAACCCGAATAGCGGGGGATCAAACGATGCAACACCAGTGAATAGAATCTCTGTCAAGTTAACCTGTCCCGAGCACCACAACCAGCTCCTGCCTCGAAATCAGCTCCTCCTCGCTCCAAGTCAGCGTCGTGCACGTAGGGCATGAGCTGCTCTGCTCTCACAGCAGCAGGAAGGGCAGTCTCACGTCTAGAGCAGCACTGACACTGCCACAACATACCCTACCCTCCCTCCCCTGCTCTGCATGTCACAATGGTAGCATCCGTAGGGCTGCCTCAATGTCATGCATGTGGGATGGTCATGAGTGGCTCCTCACAGCAGCAGTCAGAGGCAGCCTCTGGTGCTAACCAAACCACCCACTGCCAGACACACACTCACTTCTCCTCTGCCCCCATGTTCCCAGTCAACCAATCTGTTATCAGGGTGGCAGCATCCCTAAAGCAGCTTCAATGTCGTGCATGTGGATGGTCATCAGCTGCTCCTCAGGCCCCCCCCACATTTCCCGATCACACTCCTATCACGGTGGCAGCATCCCTAAAGCACCTTCAATGTCGTGCATGTGGATTGTCATCAGCTCGTCCTCACAGCAGCAGTCGAGGGGCAGCCGCAGGTCCAGACGATCCCGGGCATCCAGCAGCACCGTTCCTCCCGTCTCTCCTCGTCCTCCCTTTCCCCACACTCACAAGCACCCTGTCACACCCATCACGGTGGCAGCATCCCTAAAGCACCTTCAATGTCGTGCATGTGGATTGTCATCAGCTCGTCCTCGCAGCAGCAGTCCAGAGGCAGCCGCAGGTCCAGATGGTCTCGGGCATCCAGCAGCACCGGCACCGCCATGCCTCCGTTCCTCTCCTTGCGCTGCTTCGCTGTCGTGTGTGCTATGATCGCCTCTGCCAATGCCTCTTCTGAACATGAGGAGTGGAGCCTGGAGTGGGGTGTGAGGGGGTGGAGAGGGTGGAAAGCGGTGGAAATGGGTGAAAAATGGGGTGAAAAAGGGTGGAAAGGGTGAAAGAAAGAACCCATCACCACTCCCCACTGTCCAGCAGCACCAGCACCGACATATGGAAGAGACATGTAACTCTGTATGTGTTGAGTCGACTCAAAAATCGACTCATCACACGCGGACATACGGCAGAGACATCTATCTGTGCACCATTCAGATCGACTCACCTGAAGCCAGTTAGCGGAGACATGTCCGTGTCATCTGCAGCTTCAATCTCCTCCTTGCTCCCACCGCTCCCATTCCCACTCCCACTCCCGCTCTCATTGGTAATAATGCCACTGCTTCCATCCGCAAAATCCCCTCCTCTTCCACCCGCCTCCACTCCAACCGGCCATTTCCCCACTTCCTCTCCTTGCAGTTGCTGCTTGATGGAACCATCAGCTACACAGGGCATACTCCCTCCGCCTCCTGCCGGACCATCACTGCCGTTCCTGATGCTGCCATCCGAAGCCGCACAGCTGCTGCGGTTACCACACCGCTTGTTACAGTCACATGCCGTCCCCCTCCCACCCAGACTGCTACACTCCTCGCCCTGTCCCCCCCCCTTCCTCTCATCCGCCCCTGCATCCCACTGCTTCCCCTGTGGCTCCATCTCCTCCTTCCTTCGCTCCTCCACTCGCTCCCCAGTCTTGCTACTTCCCCATTGCATCTCTCCCCTTAGATACGTCTGCTCCCTCTGTCCCCCAGACACACCCCCATTCTGCTGAATCCGCGTCTCCTCCCCAGGGCGAGAATTCTCACAACTCGGCTTCTCCGCACCTCCCAATCTCCTCTGCTCCCCTGTCTGACCATACCCCATCTTCAGCAGCATCACCCTGGCAATCTCCCTCGGGCTCAAATCATCAAAAGTAAAACACTTAGTAACCCTCCTCTTAAACCCCTCATTAGCCTCGAAAACCCGCTGCATCGGCTCCGCATACCCCGCAAAAATCACCACCAGTTTCCCCGAATCCATCACTGTCATAATCTCCTCCAAAGCCTCTATCCCATAGTCTTTCTCTTCACTCCTTTGACACGGCATGAGCCTATACGCCTCATCGACGAACAGAATACCTCCTTCTGCTTCCTCGATCTTCCTCCTCGTTTTCGGACCCGTATGCCCCACATATTCCCCAACTAAATCCGTTCTTTGCACCTCTATAACCTTATTCAAGGGTAAAACACCCACCAGCGCCAGCATCCGGGCAAGCACCCGCGCCACGGTTGTTTTTCCGGTGCCCGGGCTGCCCAGAAAAGCCATGTGTGGGGCGCGGCGGGGAGGGACGGGCAGCCCAAGTGCCCGGCGCCTTTGGTCCAGTAGGAGACCCTTTCCCCATGTCCTTAGCTGCTGCTTTAACGAGTGGAGGCCTACTAACGAGGATAGCTCCTTTTCTAGCTGATCCATTACCAGCTTTGCTCCATGCACCGCCAGTTCAGCCTGTAACGAATGGGAGGAACACATGGGGAGAAAAGAGAAAACAAAATGTTGCAGCTGCCAAGAAATCTGCTTCTATATTTCAAATTGTGTTATTCAGACTACAGTATGCTTCCTGTATCATATCAGACACAAACGTTATCCAAGCCTACCCACCATACCTGCAGCCTCGTTCGCCTGCTGATGTGTCATTGCAGCAGAGCCTGAATCCTGAGTCGACTCTAACGTCAGCACGCATACGCAGATCATGCGCACATATTCAGGCACACATATTCATGCACACATATTCATGCACACATATTCATGCACACATATTCATGCACACATATTCATGCACACATATTCATGCACACATATTCATGCACACATATTCATGCACACATATTCATGCACACATATTCATGCACACATATTCATGCACACATATTCATGCACACATATTCATGCACACATATTCATGCACACATATTCATGCACACATATTCATGCACACATATTCATGCACACATATTCATGCACACATATTCATGCACACATATTCATGCACACATATTCATGCACACATATTCATGCACACATATTCATGCACACATATTCATGCACACATATTCATGCACACATATTCATGCACACGTATTCATGCACACATATTCATGCACACATATTCATGCACCGAACTTATCCAGGCATGCACATCGTACCTGCAGCCTCGTTCGCCTGCTGATGTGTCGTTGCAGCAGAGTCTGCACCTCTTGGCACACAGAGCACCTCGTGGCTCGACTAGGAAGCAGCGCCATGGGCGTGTTGCCGTCCTGAAGTGGGTGGGAGGCACGAGGGAACGAGCCACGAGGGTAAGATACGAGAGGAGGAGAGACAGGAGCACATGAATGTATCGCTGCAGCAGAGTCTGCACCTCTTGGCACACAGAGCACCGTGCGGCTCGACTAGGAAGCAGCGCCATGGGCGTGTTGCCGTCCTGATGCCATTGGCATGGGGACCAAGGGGGTGCGGGGAGGGAAGAGGCATGAGCACATGTTGCCGCAGCAGAGCCTGCACCTCCCGACACACACACGGCAAAGTGTGGCTCTAGGGTGTTTTTGAGAATTCTCAAAAACTCCCGACACACAGGGCAAAGTGTGGCTCTGCTGGGAAGCAGCGCGATGGGTGTGTTGCCGTCCTGGTGGCGTGGGAAGGAGGGACGACGTGTGGGGAAGGAGACAGGTCGAGATGAGACATGAGGGAAAGAGGCACCAGGAAAAGGGACAGGAGCACATGAATGTGTGCTGTTGCAGCAGAGCCTGCACCTCTCGGCACACACAACACCTGGGTCGACTGGGAAGCAGAATCACGGGCGTGTTTCCATCCCGAACCATTCTTGACCTCTCCGTACTGCACTAAACCGTACCTTATCAACAGCACACGGGTCTGCATTGGCTTCTAGCAGTAATGCCACAGCCGCCACCACTCCCCCACCACACTCCCTGCTGCCACCACCCTTCACTCCACCAGCAGCACCACCACCATTTACACCAGAACAACCAGCACCAGGAGCAGCAGCAGCAGCAGCAGACGGGGAGAGCATACACCCGTCCGCAGCAGCAGAACCAGAAGCAGAGGCAGCAGCAGCTGCAGGCAGGGAGTCGAAACTGGTGGGCGACGATGGTGTGGGGGGCGGGCAGGTGGGGAAGGCCGAACCATAGGCGCTCGGGGAAAGCAGTCGAGGGGAGAGGGGCAGGGGGGAGAGCGGACGAGGGGAGCAGGGGGAGAGTGGTCGGGGGGAGAGCTCCCCTGGGGAGAGTGGTTTTGGGGAGAGTTCCCCTTGGGAGTGGCGCAATGGAGATGGTTTAGAGGGAGAGATTGCTAGGTCTGCTTGATGCGTCAGGTGCTGCTGCTGCAGCTGCTGCTGCGCTAGCTGCTGTGATCCAGGTGCCGATTCAGGTGACTTTGCTGGCCCAGGTGTCGCTTCAGGTGCTAATTTTGCTGTGGCTAGCGGCTTGCTAGGCGGATGGGCGGCAATACTGCAGTTGAAGTTGCTACCAGTGTCGCTGCCAGTGTTGCTACTAGTAGATTGGACAGCAGCCCACACGGCGAGATGGACAGGCGTCATGCCGTTCTGATGGTAGGTTAGGAGATGAGATAGAGAAGGTGGGAGCGAAGGGGATGGGGGGATGGAAGGAAAGGGTTGGTTTGAACAGGCATTCGGGAGGAGAGAGTTAGGAGGAATATTGTAGACACAGAGTTTCCTCTTTCAATGGTGCAGCAAGCTAAAGGAAATGGAAACGACGAAATGAAGGGTGGGGGTGAGGAGGGGCGGAGAGGGGTCGGAGCGGGAAGGTGGAAAGGCGGCCTTACTGTGGCAGCGACGTCTGCCCGAGCGCCTGCCCGTAGCAGCAGCCCAATGGCATCCGCGTTGCTACAAGCTGGTTTCGAAGAGTTCTAAATAAATCATGGAGCAGAGAGGGAGCTTACCGTGGCAGCGACGTCCGCCCGTGCGCCTGCTCGTAGCAGCAGCCCAATGGCGTCCGCGTTGCTGCTCTTGGCCGCCACGTGCACAGGGGTCTCGCCGAACTGCAGAGAAGGAAAAAGGGAGAGGGAGACGTGAGAAGAGGGAAGGGGGAAGTGAGAAGGGGGAAGAGGGAATGGGGACGGGGGAATGAGAAATGGGGAAGGGGGAGGTGGGAAGGGGGAAGGGGGCAAGGGGAGACTCGGTTCTCCAACTGTCCCGTTGCCCTTAAGACTCTGAGGGATTCTGACTGCTACCTGGTGGCAACATCCTGTTTTACCAGAACAGCACTGCTAACAGCGTCTTTGAAGACGTCTCAGAAGTTTTCTCAAAACTTTTGAGAAGTCTCAAAACTCTGACCCCAAACCGAGGGCACCCTGTTTTACCATAACAGCACTGCCAACAGCTTCGCCGTTTGTTCAACTCGTCTCACCACGGTCCGTCCGCGCTCAGCTCGCTGGTCTCACAACAATCGACGCTGATTAACCCCGTTAAAGCAGTCAGCTCGTCTCACCACGGTTCGTGCTTTGACGTCCGCGCTCAGCTTGCTGGTCTCACAACAATCGACGCTGATTAACCCCGTTACAGCAGTCAACTCGTCTCACCATGTTCCGCGCTTCCACGTCTGCTTTCACTTCTGCCCCGCCGCACTGCCCCCTCCAGTCCAGGAGAAAGCGGAGCGCCTCGAGGTGCCCCTCCGCCACGGCGAGATGGAGAGGCGTCTGACACACCTGGGTGACGAGGAGTGGAGAGGGGTGGAGAGGAGTGGAGAGGAGGGACATGGGTTAGAGGGGAGGGCCTGACGTGGGGAGGGCGTGGCGTGGCACGGGGGAGACGTGGCATGGAGGCTTGAGACGATTCCATTGTGCGCGATGGCGTTACCAGATGGATTATCCCCCCACCAAAGATGGAGCCGCGGGTGAGGGGAGGGATGGGGGAAAGGGGGGGAGTGGAGCCGGGTTCTGAAGGGGGCAGGGGGGAGACACACCAGGAGAGAGGAGAAGAGTGCAAGCGAGGGAACGAGCCTTCAAGGAACGAGGTTGTTCCTTCAAGAAAGCGAGGCACGTCAAAAGTCGTTCCTTCGAGGAAGCGAGGCACCTCAAAAGTCGTTCCACTCACCGGCAGTTGCCTCTCATTAGTCGCTCCAGGTCTGGCAGCAAGCGACTCTTGAGGCACCAAAAGTCGTTCCTTCAAGGAAGCGAGGCACGTCAAAAGTCGTTCCTTCAAGGAAGCGAGGAACGTCAAAAGTCGTTCCTTCAAGGAAGCGAGGCACGTCAAAAGTCGTTCCTTCAAGGAAGCGAGGCACGTCAAAAGTCGTTCCTTCAAGGAAGCGAGGCACCTCAAAAGTCGTTCCTTCAAGGAAGCGAGGCACGTCAAAAGTCGTTCCTTCAAGGAAGCGAGGCACGTCAAAAGTCGTTCCTTCAAGGAAGCGAGGCACGTCAAAAGTCGTTCCTTCAAGGAAGCGAGGCACGTCAAAAGTCGTTCCTTCAAGGAAGCGAGGCACGTCAAAAGTCGTTCCTTCAAGGAAGCGAGGCACGTCAAAAGTCGTTCCTTCAAGGAAGCGAGGCACGTCAAAAGTCGTTCCTTCAAGGAAGCGAGGCACGTCAAAAGTCGTTCCTTCAAGGAAGCGAGGCACGTCAAAAGTCGTTCCTTCAAGGAAGCGAGGCACGTCAAAAGTCGTTCCTTCAAGGAAGCGAGGCACCTCAAAAGTCGTTCCTTCAAGGAAGCGAGGCACCTCAAAAGTCGTTCCTTCCACTCACCGGCAATTGCCTCTCGTTGATCGCTCCAGGTCTGGCAGCTAGCGCGTCCCGCAGCGCCTCTACGTCCCCCTCCCGAGCTGCCACGTGTACCGAAATCCGCTTCTTGCTCCGCGCTAAAACTGCAGCTTCCGGCGCGGTTCTACTGGCGGCTCCCCCCTCACTGGCGGAACGGTCGTCCGCCGCTTCCCCCCAGTCCAGCCTCCGCCTAGCTGCGGCGCAGCACCGCCGACCAACCCTCCCCCTCTCCACATCACCCCTGTCACTCTTCCCCGCTTCCCCTTCCCCTGAGCCTAACCCTCCACAACAGCCGCAAGAAGACGAAGGGTCTAGCGCTTCAATCGAAGCATGCTGTAACGAGGACGATGGGATGCTGGTTGTTCCCGTGCAAGGGCTCTCAATTTCAGGGACCACCAATATTTGCGGCGCTACTCGCGGTGGAGAAGAGAACTGAGAGACATGGCCGGTTTGACCTGCTTCACCATCTTGACCGTCTAGCACACCGACTGTTCCGCCTCTTCCAAGCGACTCCGGCTGCGACGAGGCCGCACTAGTCGGCGACGGCTGCGATGGCTGCGACGACTCATCGATGGTGGACCCTTGTACGACGGACGACGAGCCTCCTGAAATCTGGGAAACTCCTTCTAACTGGCATCTCTGGTTGTTACCAGACACCAGGGGCTCTGCAGCCTGGCGCGGCTCAACGAACAATTCGCCACCATCGCCTGTCGCAACCGCTTCGTGAATATCTTCGCTAGGCGTTTCGCACTTAGCTGGGGAAGAGCGAGACCTGGAAAAGCCGAGGGTGGTGGTAACGGAAGGGCCGAGCTCGACAGGCGGCGGGAGAGACGGGCCGTATCTAGCGGAAACGGCGGGACCAAAGGGAGCAGGTGACGGAATAAACTCGACCGTTGGTGAGCTGAGTGAAGGCGATAACGGATGGTTCAGATTGGAGAGCGCTGGCGAAATGGTGAATCTGAACGAGCCGGAATCGGCTGAGTCTGGAGAGGAAGAGGCACGTTGCTGCTGCGACTCTGGGGTTTCACTTTGAGGGATGTTGGCGTGTGCTGAGTCAGGGTTGGATGCGTGCGAGAGAAAGGAATCAAACGAGGTGCGAACGGAGTCCGTGCACGGGAAAACGGAATCAGTTGACGCTGCGTTCAGATTTGTTACGACTTGAACAAAATTCCCGACAGTGTGGACGGAATTCGTCGAGACAGCAGGAGGTGAACCTAAGGTGGTGGTGGAGAGATGGGGAAGCGAGACCGTGCGGGAAGCAGAGTGAGAAACGTTGGTAGGTGGCGCGGAGGATGATAAAGGGGAGGAAGAGCCATGGCCAGTTGTGTGTCTCCTTGGCGGTGCTGTTCCGCGCGGTGCTGTTGGTCCTCCTACTGGGTTTCCTGGGATAAAATCGAATATCGTCTCTAGCGTCTGCTCCTTAGTCAGAGCGCCTCTCCTATCCGCTACAATGAACATTCTCCTAGGACTACTTATTCTTACTAATAGTGGAACAATCCTTTCGTTATGCGCGCAACGCCAGCATGCTGCTTCTACTCTGTGCAAGAACCGCTTAGGAACCCTGAATACTACAGCAGAATTGCGAGAGATGCTCAAACGTAATGACTACCACAGCAACAAACACATATTGCAGGCAGATAAAGCCTTCCGAGAATGCGGTTATGTTTCCCAAGGATGCCAGACACACAGATGATGGATGCTTGAGAAGGACAAGGCAAGTGAAAGCTAGGAGGAATTCTTTCAGATGTCTAAATGGAGTCGGCCTTGGCGACTGTTGCGAAAGGTCACGGAGACTGGACGAGTTGCGAAGGTTAGGCGCGAAGTCCAGGTAGTATTCGACAGCCAGATATCCAAGATCGACGGTATGCTCTTGTCGCGAAGGAATGTTGCGGACGTGAGTGGGCTGCAACGAAAAGGGATGTCAACTTGCGACTGTTTGCGGACGTCATGGCTGTCGCGAATGATCTTGTTTTGTTCCAGCGACGAGGCACTTCTTTCATGTCACCCACACGTAACTTCGCCAAGCCGTCAGTGTTCTATGATCCTGTCAGACCTTGGCCGCCACGGCTTCCCAATACGCGACGCGAAAGAGAGGTTTCCCGCCAATAACCAAACATAACCATACGGCCAGCTCAGCAAAGTCAACGGCTGGTAGGATTTCGAAGGTACAGATCACGATCCTTTCCGCTATAGGATATTGTTGTCACGTTTCCTTCAAAACAAATAACAGTCATTATCAGCTAATATAATCTTCATTTGGCTTACCGTATGTGGTGTAAGAATGAACTTGCTTCCACAGCATGATGTACCGCATCATGCTGAAGTTGCACAATTGATATAATGGCATAACAGGTTGAAATCGTGTGGCATCAAGCCTCATCTTCTGCAACATCATAAAAAAAACACCGCAAACAAGGACACATGAGCACAACTGTGGAAACAGGATATTCGGAAAGTGCAAATGTGTGCTTGACGCGCTGCACGACACTTACCTAATCGTTTGAATCTATGATTGCCACGTAAACACCACCAGACCGCAAGTATCACGAGTAGCAGCAGAAGCACACTCCCCAACACAATGACCACTATCAACCAAATGGGCATTCCTGTACAGGGGACAAAGAAGCAAGAGTCAGGAACTAAGACCAAAACAACCAGCACTTGCAATGCAGCGAAACATGACAGCAAAATACACTGCTGATTATTAAACATGGTACAAAAACATGGACCAGTATTGTAAAATATCCAAAGTACGGTAATCAGCCCACTGACCTCCCACTCCACTGGCACTGTACTCACCATTGCTTATTCCGACCGGTGGCGATGCTTCTGCTGCACTCACTGCTGCTGCTGCTGCTGCAGTCCCCCCTCCTCCACCTTGTACCACATTCACCTCCTCTCCTCCCTCCTCTCCCTCCTCTTTCTCCAAGGACACCGGCACCACTTCGAAGAGCTCCACAGCACTCAGGACAGCTGGCAGCGTGCTATTGGCTGCTGTGCGCACACCTACCTGGTCGAGGAACAAGCGAAAAGCGAGGGCAAAGCGAGAATGAGTGTGAGCAGGTGAGGGATGGGGCTCTGAGCCTCAGTGGTGATCACAAGGTGAGGAGTCACGGAGTTGACGTGTCTTGAGACGTCTCAAGAAGCGAGGGCAAAGCGAAAATGAGTGAGAGCAAGTGCGCAAGGAGGCTCTGAGCCTCAGTGGTAAGTAGTCACAAGGTGAGGAGACGACCCAAGAAGTGAGGGCAAAGTAATAATGAGTGAGAGATGGAGCTGATGCCTCAATGGTAATCACAAGGTCAGGAGCCTAGGAGCTGACGTGTCTATACGCCAATGCATTGACTCACAATGAGAAACACCCATCTCAAAGTGATGTTCGTATAGCGATGCCCATAGTCGTTGTTGGTGAGCATACAGTGATGCTCACAAACGAATGTGCTTAGAATAATGCTCAACCAGCAGCAAGACGAACCTTGAGGTCCTCTGAACGGCTGTGGGAGAAGTGGCAGCAGCCCACAAGCAAATGTGCTGTGTGCTGGTAATGTTGCTCACAAGCTAATGTGCTTATCATGATGTTTAAGCACAGCACCCACCTCCAAGTCCTCTGAGCGGCCGTGGGAGAAGCGGGAGAAGTTGAAGAGGAGGGGCACGATGAGGGCCGTGCGGGGTTGAAGAAGTGTGTTGAGACGTTTTGAGACGCCTCAAAACACTTCTTCAATCACGATGTGGGCCGTGCGGGGCAGATTCTGAGTCGACTCAAAAAAAGGAACACCCACCTCGAGATCCTCTGAGCGGCCGTGGGAGAAGCGGGATAAGTTGAAGAGGAGGGGCACGATGAGGGCCGTGCGGGGTTGAAGAAGTGTTTTGAGACGTTTTGAGACGCCTCAAAACACTTCTTCAATCACGATGAGGGCCGTGTGGGGCTATTTTAGAGTCGACCCAAACATAGCAACACGCACCTCGAGATCCTCTGAGCAGCCGTGGGAGAAGCGGAGGCAGCCAGGAAGCAAACGAGCATATGAAGATGCCTTACCAGCACAATACCCACCTCGAGGTCCTCTGAACGGCCGTGGGAGAAGCGGGAGAAGTTGAAGAGGAGGGGGACGATGAGGGCCGTGCGGGGCGGCACGTGCGAGAGAATGTCGAAATCCGACGATGCTTCCGCTGCTGCCGCTGCTGCTGACGATGACGATCCTAATGCTGCTTCTGCTGCCGAGTTAGCCGCACCACCAGCAGCACCAGCACCAGCACCAGCACCAGCACCAGCACCAGCACTCCCACTCCCCTTCCCACCTCGCCCGTCCAGCAGCCTGACTCTATTCCCCAGAGCCACCACCCGACGGCCGCTCCCCAGCAGGATGTCAAACCGCCGGTCGCCCACCTTGGCAGTCAAGTTCATCTCGGCAAAGTAGAAGCGCATGTACCAGAGGTTCGACACGTGCGCTGGTATCAGAGCCATCCGGAACCCCGTGATTTGCGCTCCTGGGGAAGGAGGAGGAGGAGGAGGAGGAGGAAGTGTGCCTGCTGCTCCTGCTGCTCCTGCTGCTCCTGCTGCTCCTGTTGCTCCGGTTACCCCTGCTGCCCCTGCTGCCCCTGCTGCTCCGGCTGTGCCTTGGGGATCTAATCCTGTGAGCACTCGCCTGTGCTGCATGTGCTGCATGTGCTGCTCTCCGTGCTGCCCCCCGTGCTGCCCTCCATGCTCGTACTCCTGTTGTTGAACCATGCTGTTGAGGTGGCTGTGGTTTGCAAAGGGATCTGTGAGCATCTGGGGAAGCAGGGCAGGGCACTTGGAGCAGAGCTCATGGTCCCGGAAACTCAGTCGCCTGCGAGAACGCACCTGCCTCTGCCCTTGTCCTTGTTGCCCCTGCCCCGGCCCCTGCCCTTGTCCTCCCTGCCCCGGCCCCGGTCCCTGCCCCTGCCCCTGCCCCTGCCCCTGCCCCTGTCCCAGCACCTGTCCCTGCCCCTGCCCCTTCCCATCCACTGATTGCAACTCCAACCCTCCAGCCGACCTCCAGTCTTCAAATATCATCCCAGGTAAAAACTCAGGTGGCTTTCTCGTCCCCGCAATCCCTCTCCCTCTCGCCCACCCTCTCCTCCTCCCCACCAGACCTCCCCCGAGCCGAGCCATCTCCTTCTCCCAAACCACATCCGCAATCCAGGTTCGGAACCCCGGGTCCTGAGGCTCGGGCCCAACCTGCCCGCCGCCCATGTTGATCCGGAGATAAGACGAGAGGATAATATCTGGGCCGAGGGTGGCAGAGTCGTAAGCTTCTGAGTCAACGGGTAGAATCTCTAGGGAGTTGATGATAGGAGGGGCGTGGGAGGGGTTCTGTGTGAGAAAACATATAGAAATGGTTCCATTGCTGCTGATCCCTTCTGTTCCGTTGCTACCCTTTGCTGCCTGGGCAGCATTTCCCTCTTTCCCTACATCCTGTCCCTTTCCGCCTAACCCCACTGCTCCTGCTCCTCCTACTCCTCCTGCTCCTCCCACTCCTGCTGCTCCTCCTCCTCCTCCCACTCCTGCCCCCCCATTCCCCCCTCCTGCTGCCATCCCAGTTCCGCCTCCACCCCCCCCATTTCCCCCAGGGGCTGTCCCTCCCCCAGGGGCATACGCCATATAGTCAGAATAGTACGCTCCTGATACAAGCCTCTGCTCCACTACACCCATATCCACCGCCTCCACTACAGTGTTTTGCAGTTTAACTAAAAAAAAAGGCGGCGCGCTTTGGTTATCGTAATCATAATAAGCAAACCCTACTCGCACTAAGTATCGCCCGGGAAATACAGGAACCCTGTAGCAGCCCTTAAGTGTTGGGAAATAACGCATAGATGCTTCTACCGAGGATAAAAGGTTCCCCAGGGCGACGTTTTGGGCGAGAGAAACTGGTAACCCGTTACGCTGGTCGGTGGGGTTCTTGCGCTGGTTACCAGATGTGCTTATATCGAAGTATTGGTCTGCCTGCCATTGGATCCCGTTAATGGTTGTGCCAACTGTGCTTCCACAGTCGATACGGATGGGCACTGGTGTGGGCGGGCGAAGAGGGAAGGGGACAATGTGGGACGGGATGAGAGGGAAAGGGGTAATGCGGGACACTATTACTCCCATTTATAGTTGTGCCGACTGTGCTTCCACAGTCCATACGGATGGGCACTGGTGTGGGCGGGCGAAGAGGGAAGGGGACAATGTGGGACGGGATGAGAGGGAAAGGGGTAATGCGGGACACTATTACTCCCATTTATAGTTGTGCCGACTGTGCTTCCACAGTCCATACGGATGGGCACTGGTGTGGGCGGGCGAAGAGGGAAGGGGACAATGTGGGACGGGATGAGAGGGAAAGGGGTAATGCGGGACACTATTACTCCCATTTATAGTTGTGCCGACTGTGCTTCCACAGTCCATACGGATGGGCACTGGTGTGGGCGGGCGAAGAGGGAAGGGGACAATGTGGGACGGGATGAGAGGGAAAGGGGTAATGCGGGACACTATTACTCCCATTTATAGTTGTGCCGACTGTGCTTCCACAGTCCATACGGATGGGCACTGGTGTGGGCGGGCGAAGAGGGAAGGGGACAATGTGGGACGGGATGAGAGGGAAAGGGGTAATGCGGGACACTATTACTCCCATTTATAGTTGTGCCGACTGTGCTTCCACAGTCCATACGGATGGGCACTGGTGTTGGTGGGGGGTGCATGTGGGTGGGTAGGGGGCGGAGAGGGAGGGGGATAACGGGGGAAAGGATGGGATGCGATGAGGTGTAGTGCATGTTGCGCCCTGTATACTGAAGCGGCTTAGAACGGGTATGGACGGACGGGGAGGGACCTGGGTGTGGGTGTGTGTGACAGGGGAGGGACATGGCAGAACTGGCAGAGGGGAGTTGTGAGGAGGGAAGGACTGCGAGGGTTTGTTTGGGAATATGATATGAAGGAAATAAACCAAGGGGAAGAAGGGCGGGGGGGGACGAAAAGGGAGGTGGTTGGAGAAGGGGAGAGATAGGGGAGAAGGTGGGAGAGGGGAGGGGGAAGGTGTGGGGAAGAGTGAGGGATGAAAAGTGGGGATGCGAGGTCGCACCAGTGGTTGGTCGTGCGGCGACAGCTGGCGACGCGTGCGACGCCAAGCATGCGACGAGGTAAAGTAAGCACAGGCAGAACAGTCTCCTGAGTGAAGAGAATGATGTGTGAAGGGTGAGCTGGTTCCGAGTTTCCGAAAAGTTCGCTGGGGAGGATAGTAAGGCGAGGTGCACTGAAGAAGCGGCGCTGCGGAGTGCTGGTGAAGCGGCGGAATAGCGGCGCCAGGGACGTTCCAAGAATATTCGCCTTATAGCCATTTCGCTACTAGCACAAGCGGTCGAGCTTGTTTTCGTTAATTCGGGTTTAATCAAGTGCACAGTGTCGTACACCAGTCAGCGACATTCGTTCACGGGAACGCCGGACGTGCGACGCGAAAACATCGTCGCACGTTGCTGCACTGTTCGCATTCAGCAACAACCCAGCGCTGGGCTGTCGCAGCCTACCTGTTGTCGCTAGCCTACAGGTCGTTAGTCTCCTGCTCCTACAAGTTAGCCTCTTAGGAATGTTATGGTTGCCCCAACGGCTAGTTAATTAGAATACTAATAAAATAGATGGGTTGGTGAAAGGGTTGGAAAGGGCACTAGCAGACGGTATGCACTGCACGGTGTTTATAATATTTTGAACGGTTTGTATGATACTTTAAACGGTGAAGATGGCAAAGAGAAAAGTGTTCTGCAGATTCTAGGGTGAGGAGGCGGTGTGGTGATAAGGACGCGGTAAAAGTGGAGAATCGATCGCCTCAGGTTCGTTTTTTAGCACGGTTATAAACGGTTGTGTATCTTTTGTATACAAAACGCGGGGTTTCAGTGAGGTGACAGGTTCGATTTCCCCCCGAACGAGCACTTTTACCGCGTCCTAAGCCATGCTGCCGCCTGAAGTTGGTCGCTGATGGGCCTGAACGATTGACGATGCGAGAACGACTGAGAGTTACTTTCGTGTAAGGCTCGCGAATTAGCTCGCGCGGATATACGCTGGTCTTGAAATTTGGAGCATTCGACACTTACCGTTCGCGAGATTCGTCACCTACGACATGAACTTCAAGCTTCAACACAGAACATGCCTTCAGGATCGCGAATAGAGAACTTATAGCGAGGATGTTCTGGTGCCAACTACAGCGCATCAGTATTTCGCATAGGAACAAAACAGACAAAAAAGCGTTTCCTCTCATTGCATTGTAAATAGCATCATTTCCTCCATTCCTGTGAAAATTGCTTGTCCGCAACAATGGCGTCCGCGGCCGCGCAACTTTCGCTTCCGCGCATCTTCCGTTCATCTCCAGACGTCCACTGTCAGTCGTCGAGCCGCCATCGCTCCGCCGTGCTTCCGCGTTTCACGGGCTTAAAAATCTCGTCACCAGCTGAGCGAATAGGCGGTGAAAATGCGTTCCGCGGTACCAGTGCCGTGCCTGGCCGAAAAGGGGGAAAGGGGGAACCTCTCCGCCTTCCGAGTGCGCTGGCGCGCGCGGACGTTGTGGTGGCTGCGGCGGAAGGCGGAACCCGCGCGCCGCCGCGGGATCGGAAGCAGAAGCTCGCTCCGCCGAGCGGGCGCGCGGGGGGCGCGGGGAGATCGGGAGGCGGAAAGATTCCGTACGAGCTCGAGGCGGTGATCAGCAATCTCGTGTCGCTGGCGCCACGTGGCAGCATCTCGCGATGCATGGAGACGTTCAAGGGGAAGCTGACGCTGCCGGTAGGGTTAGCGAGGGTTATCTACAGAAATGAGGGTTTGTGGTAGCCGTCTACATCGATTAGGGTTTCAGCCACCGGCAGTAGTGAGGGGAAGTTTGAGCCGACTTGTATCTGGAGACGTTTAAGGGGAAGCTGGCGCTGCCGGTAGGGTTTAGGGCGAGCTGCAGTAAGCCCCCAACCCCTCTCTCCTTGGTGTTTCGCCAAGATTTCTCCCCAACGCGTTCCACGCTCTCGCCATTGCCCCATTCTCACTTCCCAAACCCCAAGCCCAGTTCTTCCCTTCCTCCCCACCCGCTTCCCCTCCCCTCCCCCTCCTCCCCCTCCCCCCCTCTCCCCTCCTCCCCAGGACTTTGCGCTGATCTTCAAGGAGTTCGCGCAAAGGGGAGATTGGATCCGCGCCATGCGCCTGTTCAAGTACATGCAGGTGGGGGAGGAGGTGTGATGTGGGGGGAGGGGAGAATGGGGAGTGGGTTGAGGTGTACGCAGCTGGCGATGGGATCCGCGCCATGCGCCTGTTCAAGTACATGCAGGTGGGGAGGGCGATTCTGGGGGGGGGGTGTGGGGGGGGGAGGGGAGGGAAGGTTCGGTGGGTGCGGATGGGTATTTCTCGACTCTAGCAGCCGCCAGAGTTGTCTGGGATAGAGTACATGGGAGTACCATGCGATGCGACTAGTTTGAAAAGAAGTATCGAGGCATAAGGTTGACTTTTCAGCCCACTCGGTTACTGAGGCAGCACGCAGCAGCAGCAGCAGCACTGAGTTTCGGTTGTTTTCCTTGTGCCCTTGATTTCTTGTATTTCCTGTGTTGTTGTTGTTGTGTGCGTGCAGCGGCAGCAATGGTGTGCGCCCAACGAGTACATCTACACCATCATGATCGGCATCATGGGTGCGTGTTTCATATGCCCTACCCACCAGCATTCATGCCCCCCCCTCATTCGTGCGCCCAACGAGTACATCTATACCATCATGATCGGCATCATGCACGCATGCACACATGCACACATGCACACATTGACACAATGACATGCGCCAGCATGATGGTGTGTAAGTATGCTGGCGCCAACGAGTAAATTCACACAATTATGATCGGCATTGCGGGTTTGTATTCCTTGCACACATACGCAGTCTGCACTCATGCCCACCCACACACCCTCCCACACACACGCCCACCCACATTCAAAAACCTTTCCCCCACCCTCTTCTTTCTTCCCCTCAAACAATCAGGTCGGGAGGGCATGTTGGACCGTGCACAGGAGCTGTTTGAGGAGATGCCGGAGAATAGCATGGAGTGGAATTTGCCTTGTGCTTCTTGCCTCTCAATCTCTCCCCTTCTCCCTCATCCTCTCCCCCCTCCCACCTTCTTCTCCTCTTCCCCTCTATCAGGTCGCGAGGGCATGTTGGACCGTGCACAGGAGCTGTTTGAGGAGATGCCGGAGCATGGAGTGGAGTGGAATGTGTATTCATTCACGGCTCTCATCAATGCATATGGGAGGAATGGCATGGTGAGAGTCTGAGAGATGTCAGCTAAATGAACCTAACATGCTAGAGCATGGAGTGGATTGGAATGTGTGTTTGTTCACGGCGCTCATCAACGCGTATGGGAGGAATGGCAATGGTGAGAAACTGCCATTAATGTTTTACTCATGCTATTGAGAAATCACCATCAGTACGGGCGATCGCTAGACCTGTAAGCTCGCATGAAGCAAGAAGGCGTGGCATTAGACAGCATCACGTACAACACCGTGCTGCACGCATGTGCCAAGAGCGCCCCTGTTTCCTCATCCCGCCTCCCTTCCCCTCTCCTCCCATCCGCACCATCAGTACGAGCAATCACTCGACCTCCTGGCACGCATGAAGAGGGAGGGAGTGGCAGCTAACAGCATCACACACAACACCGTGCTGCACGCATGTGCCAAGGGCCTGACTCTTCCCCACCCTCTCCCTCACCCCCACCCACTCCCACCCCACCCTCCCCTCCCACGCCCTGTTCCTAATCAGTACGAGCAATCACTCGACCTCCTGGCACGCATGAAGAGAGAGGGAGTGGCAGCGAACAGCATCACACACAACACGGTCCTGCGCGCATGTGCCAAGTCCCTGCTCGTCCCTTTTGAGGCGCCTCAAAACTCGTCCCCAACGCCACCCTTTCCCACTCCCACCCCCGCCCCCCACCCTGGCCCCTGTCAGTACGAGCAATCACTCGACCTCCTAGCAAGGATGAAGAGGGAGGGAGTGGCAGCGAACAGCATCACTCACAACACGGTCCTGCGCGCATGTGCCAAGGGCCTCACTCTTTTCCACCCCTTGCCATTCCCTCCGTCCTCCCCACCAGTATGAGCGCTCATTGGATCTGCTGGCAAGGATGAAGAGGGAGGGGGTAGCAGCGAACAGCATCACATACAACACCGTGCTGCACGCATGTGCCAAGGGCGCCATGCCCTGGGATGCGCTCGTTGATATATTCGCCAAGATGAGACAGGACGGCGTGCAGGTGAGTGTGGGGGGAGGGGGCGGGGGGGGGATGAGCGGGAGATGGAGTGTGTGGGAACGTGATATTGAACCTTGTATTTTGTATGAGTCTGGGTTGCCAAGGGCGCCATGCCCTGGGATGGGCCCGTTGATATATTCGCCAAGATGAGGCAGGAGAGCGTGCAGGTGAGATGGAGAGGGGGGAGGGAAGGGAATGAGAGGGAGAGGGAGTGTGTGGGAGTGTGTAGGAGTGTTTAGCAATGTCCCATCTTCACTCTCCGCACCCCCCTTGCCTCTTGTTCACTCTCCTCCCACCAGCCCGAATAGTAACGTTCAACACACTGCTAGCAGCCTGCAGTGCCAGTTTCTCACTCTCCCCCACCCCCTTTTCTGTTCCTCTCACTCCCCTCTCTCATCCCCTCCTCTCAATCCTCCCATCAGCCCAACATAGTCACGTTCAACACGCTGCTAGCAGCCTGCAATGCTCTTTCCCCCGTCTCTCCCCTCTTCACCCCTCCTTCCTTCCCACTCTCGTTCCCCCCACCGGCCTTTCCGTCTCCCGCCAGCCCAACATGGTCACATTCAACACGCTGCCAGCAGCCTGCAATGCCCCATGCTCATTCTCCCTCCTTCCTAACTCCCCCAACCCTCCCCCTCTCCCCTTCCCTTCACTCTCCCCATCAGCCCGACATAGTGACCTTCAACACGCTGCCAGCAGCCTGCAATGATTCTGACCCCTTCCCCCTCTCCTGCCTCTCCTCTTCTCGTCCTCCCCTCCCCCTCCTCCCCCCCATCCTCCCGCCAGCCAGACATAGTCACATTCAACGCGCTGCTAGTAGCCTGCTTCTTGCCCCTTAACCTCTCTTCCCCCCCCCCTTTTTCTTCCCCTTTCCCCCCCGCCACCCCCTCTCACCAGCCCGACATAGTCACGTTCAACACGCTGCTAGCAGCTTGCAATGCACGCTCGCTTGTGGAGCAATCAGCTATGGTCTTCCGCTCTATGGTTGCCTCCCAGGTGGGTGGGTGTGTGTGAGCGTGTGAGCGTGTGTGTGTGCGGGCGTGCACGTGTGTACGTGCATGCATTGCGTGTGCGTACCTTTGCGAGCGCTGGTGGAGCAATCAGCTATGGTCTTCCGCTCTATGGTTGCCTCCCAGGTAAGGGTGCCTCTCGGCTACTGCTGGCCTAGTCAACATGTAGCCTCTCTGCCCTGATGATATTCTTATGACACCATGTTGTTACATACTCTTCTGACGCTTCTTATGAATCCCATGGCTGGCCTAGTGACCTAGTCCACACAACAAAGGGTCCATAAAAGCCAAAATTTCCCGGCCCTTCCATTCTCTCCCTACCAGGTGCCGCCCAATGCCCTCTCGTACGCCTCATTGGTCGACACGCACCGCCGGGGCGGGCAGCTGGGCGGCGTGCGTCGTCTGTTCCAGGAGATGTCGGAGGAGGAAGGGGTGGTGGCTGACGTGTCAGCTTACAACATGCTCATCGATGCTTACGCTTGGGGGGGAGAGTACCAAGCAGCTCAAGAGGTGAGAATACATGCGTACTACTGTGTGTGCGTGCACAGTGTGCCTTTGCCCGGGGGTGGTGGCTGACATGTCAGCATACAACATGCTCATCGACGCTCATGCGTGGGGGGGAGAGTATCAAGCAGCTCAAGAGGTGAGAATTAACCACAAATCTGTTATCCGATATATCCACACACACGTGCCCTTGCCCTGTGGTGGCTGACGTGTCAGCTTACAACATGCTCATCAACGCCTATGCTTGTGGGGGAGAGTACCAAGCAGCACAGGAGGTGAGGATGAGCGTGCCAGCGCAATTCTTGTATCATCAACACACATGCATCATAGCCTTGGGGTGGCCTTGGGGTGGTGGCTGACGTGTCAGCATACAACAAGCTCATCGACGCCTATGCCTGGGGGGAGAGTACCAAGCAGCACAGGAGGTGAGGATGAGCGTGCCAGCACAATTCGTGTATCATCAACACACATGCATCATAGCCTTGGGGTGGCCTTGGGGTGGTGGCTGACGTGTCAGCTCACAACATGCTCATCGACGCCTATGCTTGCGGGGGAGAGTACCAAGCAGCACAGGAGGTGAGATTGACTACTTCACGTCCACCTTTTGAGGCGCTTAAAAAATTGACTACTTGGCGTCCACCACTCCCCCTCCTCCCCCCCTGCTCCCCCCCTGCTCCCCACACATCAGGTGTTCAACGAGATGCAGCAGGCCGGCTGCATCCCCAACGTCGCCACCTATACTGCCCTTCTTAAAGCCCTCGGGTCCAACGGCAGCTACCACCACGTGCGATCTGTCTTCACCCAGATGAAGGCCTCTGGGAGGAATCCTAGTTTCCTCCCCTTTCCTCCTTATTCCCTCCCTGCTCCCCTCTCTTCTCCTCCTCCCCTGCTCCGCCCCCCCTCCCCCCTCCTCCTCCCTTCCGCCTCCCCCCGTCCCACACAAAAGGTATTCAACGAGATGCAGCAAGCTGGTTGCATCCCCAACGTCGCCACCTATACTGCCCTTCTTAAAGCCCTCGGGTCCAACGGCAGCTACCACCACGTGCGATCTGTCTTCACCCAGATGAAGGCCTCTGGGAGGAAACCCGACCTCGCCACGTACCAGACCCTGCTGGACGTTTTTATTTCTGGAGGGTTCTTCCGAGAAGCTTCGCGGCTGTTCTGGGACATGGAGGAGGATGGGGTGGAGGTGGATGAAGGGGCGTTCACCTCTCTGCTCGTGGCGTGTGGATTGGGAGGGCTGACAACCGAGGCCACAGAAATCTACAGGTACATGGGTATGGTGATGTGTGAGTCGAGTCACTCAGAAGTCGCATGGAGGAGGATGGCGTGGAGGTGGACGAAGGGGCGTTCACCTCTCTGCTTGTGGCGTGTGGATTGGGGGGGCTCACAACTGAAGCAACGGAAATATACAGGTGAATAGTGTTGTATCGAGTCACATAGGAAGGGAATAGGGGTTGAGGTGGAGGAGGAGGATGGGGTGGAGGTGGATGAAGGGGCGTTTACTTCTCTGCTCGTGGCGTGTGGCTTGGGAGGGCTCACCACAGAGGCCACAGAAATATACAGGTATAGAGCTTTGAATCGCCTCAAACGCTCCAGGTCCTTACGCAAACGCCCATTCATAGACTCGTAAGATGTTGGTAAATTCGGTTGAGAGCCTTGTGGTCAGTCAATCGATAGAGCTTCCCGGCTGTTCTGGGACATGGAGGAGGAGGATGGAGTGGAGGTGGATGAAGGGGCTTTCACCCCTCTGCTTGTGACATGTGGGCTGGATGGGATGGCATCATTTAGGATAATCCTTTCCCTCCCCCCTCCTCTTCCCCCTCCCTCTCCCCTTCCTTTCCTTTCCCTCCCACCACCCTCCTCCCCTCTTTTTCTTCGATACAATCAGGTTCATGCGGTCCCCCCCCCCTCTCTCTCTCTCCCACTGTCCCCCACTTCCAATCAGGTTCATGCGGGAGCGCTCACAAGTGCAGCCGTCGTCCTCGTTGATGGAGGCTCTGTCTGATAAGGGCGTATGGGCAGGCAATAGCTGAGGTCCCTCTCTCTCTCTCTCTCTCTCTCTCTCTCTCTCTCTCTCTCTCTCTCTCTCTCTCTCTCTCGCTCTCTCTCTCTCTCTCTCTCTCTCTCTCTCTCTCCCACTGTCCTCCACTTCCAATCAGGTTCATGCGAGAGCAATCACAGGTGCAGCCATCATCCTCGCTAATGGAGGCTCTGATAAGCGCGTATGGGCAGGCAGGCATGTATGACCATGCACTGACGGCCTTACACGAGAGCATGGAGATGGGACTCTCAGACCAGCCGGTGAGTGGGTGGAGCAAGGGAACAGTAGAAACGGTAGGATATGATATGCACTAAGTGCGTATGGACAGGCAGGTATGCACGACCATGCATGCACTGACAGGGCTGCACGAGAGCATGGAGATGGGACTCTCAGACCAGCCTGTGAGTGGATGAGCTGGGAAGATGAAAGGGCACCCAGGCAGGTAGGCGTATGGGCAGGCAGGCATGTACGACCATCATGGTCGGACCATGCACTGACCGTGTTGCACGAGAGCATGGAGATGGGACTCTCAGACCAGCCGGTGAGCTATTATAATTGTGAGCTTTAGTAGCCGCATCTCCCAGCATTCAGGCAGCCAAAAAGGCATAGCTCTGCTGCTTCTGCTTCTGCCGCTTCTTTTGCGCATGCTGGTCGTGTGTGGAGTTAGGGTTGAGCAAAAAAACGAACACCTGTTCTGTTTGCCTCGAACGTGTTCGAGGCGAACCGAACAGGTTTTTTTTTTGCTTAAAGTGTTCGCCAAACAGTGTTCGAGGTTCGCCCAAACACGTTTGTGTTCGGGCCACTGCTGCAATTCGCCCCGCGACGAACACGAACGTGTTCGAGGTTACACGCCTTCACAGGCGAACGGCGAACACCTGTTTTTGCTAAAAGTGTTCGCCGAACCGAACACGGATGTGTTCGTGTAGGGGCGAACACGAACATGTTTGTGTTCGCCCCTTAATCCCTATGTGGAGTTACATCCATCCCTTCATCTTTCCTTCCCCCCACCTTGCCTGCCTCCCTCCCACAGGGTCCCTTCCTCGCGCTCATGGAGGCGTATGCAGCAGGGGGCATGCACGACGATGCAGCGTTTGTCTTTGCCCTCATGATGCAATCTGATGGGGGGAGAGAGGCAGCAGCAGGAGCAGGCGCAGGCGCAGCAGCAGGAGCAGCAGCATTCCTTTCATCTCCCTTTCCCCCACACCTCCCATCTTCCCCGCTCCCTCCCTCAGGGTCCCTTCCTCGCCCTCATGGAGGCGTATGCAACGGGGGGCATGCACGACGATGCAGACTGTGGCAGTGAGTGACAGTAGCATCTGCCATACTCTATGTACCCTTCATACCCCCCCTCTTCCCACAGGGTCCTTTCCTCGCGCTCATGGAGGCGTATGCAGCAGGGGGCATGCACGACGACGCAGCGTTCGTCTTTGCTCTCATGATGCAATCCGATGGGGGGAGAGCAGCAGCAGGCGCAGCAGCAGGAGCAGCAGGAGGAACAACAGGAGCAGCAGCAGGGGGATTTTTGTCAGGAGACACAGTTAATGCAGGAAACACAGCTGTCTCGCTCTCTTCCCCGGCCCTCACCTCCTCTCCCTCCTCCTCCTCCTCCGCCTCCTCCTCTGATCCGTATCCCGCTGATGCGTCTCTGCGGACGTTCAATGCTCTTATCGAGGCGTTCACTAAAGGGGGGCTCTACAACGAAGCGATTAAAGTCAGCGAGGTGAGTGTGATTGGTGGTTTTGGTCCGCACCCCCTGCTGATGCGCCTCTGAGGGTCTTTGAGGCGTCTCAAAAGTCTTCTCCTCCTCTCACTGGTGGTTCTGGTCGTTACCCCCTGCTGATGCGCCTCTGAGGGTCTTTGAGGCGTCTCAAAAGTCTTCTCCTCCTCTCACTGGTGGTTCTGGTCGTTACCCCCTGCTGATGCGCCTCTGAGCTTAAGACCTTCAATTCTCTTATCGAGGCGTTTACAATGAAGCAATCGAAGTCAGCGAGGTGAGTGTAACGTGGTGTGAGTGATGACACCACTGCAAGTGCGGGAAACACAGCCGTCTCGCTCTCTTCCCCCGCCCTCACCTCCTCTCCCTCCGCCTCCTCCACCTCCTCCGCTGATCCGTATCCTGCTGATGCGTCTCTGAGGACCTTTAATGCTCTCATCGAGGCGTTTACTGAAGGGGGGCTGTATGATGAAGCGATCAAAGTCAGCGAGGTGAGTGGAACGAGGTGTGAGCGAGTGTGTAACGGGATTTAAGTGACTGTGTAACGGTTTGTCAATGTGGCTTTTTTCGATGCAATGCATTCTCTTGCAACCTTAATCTCACACCTTCGCCCCTTGCAACCCAATCTCACCCCATGCAACCCAATCTCACCCCATGCAACCCAATCACACCCCATGCAACCCAATCTCACCCCATGCAACCCAATCTCACCCCATGCAACCCAATCTCACCCCATGCAACCCAATCTCACCCCATGCAACCCAATCTCACCCCATGCAACCCAATCTCACCCCATGCAACCCAATCTCACCCCATGCAACCCAATCTCACCCCATGCAACCCAATCTCACCCCATGCAACCCAATCTCACCCCATGCAACCCAATCTCACCCCATGCAACCCAATCTCACCCCATGCAACCGAATCTCACCCCATGCAACCCAATCTCACCCCATGCAACCCAATCTCACCCCATGCAACCCAATCTCACCCCATGCAACAGGACATGGAGCAGGCCAACTGCCGCCCCTCCCTGGCAACGCATGCAGCCATGGTCACAGCATACAGCGCTGCAGGCAGCAGGGGGTGACTGGCTGCCCTCCTGCTCGCCTCCCCCTCTTTGCGCCTTCACCCTTTGCCAAACCTTCTCACCGCATACCTCTTCTCACCCCTCACAGGACATGGAGCAAGCCAACTGCCGGCCCTCTCTGGCAACCCACGCAGCCATGGTGGCTGCATACAGCGCTGCAGGCACGTTTGAGGCCGCTTATGCACAGACGACAGAGATCAGGGAGGAGGGCATGGTGCCGCCCGCTGCCAGTTACTGCCATTTGCTGGCGCTCTGTGCCAGAAGGGGAAGGTGAGCGAAAGCATAGGCTTGTGTCGGCTTACGCACAGGAGGCGTATGCAGCAGGGGGCATGCACGACGACGCAGGCGCTCTGTGCCAGAAGGGGAAGGTGCGCGAAGGCGTAGGCTTGTGTCGGCTTACTGCCACCTGCTCGAAAGCATAAGCATAGGCTCGAAGCTGCTTATGCACAGACGACGGAGATCAGGGAGGAGGGCATGGTGCCGCCCACTGCCAGTTACTGCCATTTGCTGGCACTATGCGCGAGACGGGGAAGGTGAGAAGATGTTGAAGGTGAGCGGAACAGAGGGATTGAGAGGCCACGTTTGAGGCGGCTTATGCGCAGACGACGGAGATTAGAGAGATGGGCATGGTGCCGCCGCCTGCTGCGAGCTACTGCCATTTGTTGGCTCTTTGTGCGAGGAGAGGCAGGTGAGAGGAACAGCAGAAACGAGGGCCAAGGGGACCTTTGAGTTGACTCAAAAGTCATGGTGCCGCCTGCTGCGAGCTATTGCCATTTGTTGGCTCTTTGTGCGAGGAGAGGCAGGTGAGAGGAACAGCAGAAACGAGAGCCAAGGGGAGTGAGAGGATACGTGTAACCTTTGAAGCGGCTTATGCACAGACGACGGAGATCAGGGAAGAGGGCATGGTGCCGCCTGCTGCTAGCTACTGCCACCTGCTGCTAGCTACTGCCACCTGCTGCCAGCTACTGCCACCTGCTTGCGCTGTGTGCCAGAAGGGGAAGGTGACCAGGCGTAGATGGAAGGTGAGGAGCGATGAGACGTCTTTCGAGGCTTGAGGGGTTTTCTCCGCCTGTTGCTCCACTCCACACCCCTTCCCATCTCCTTCCCATCCCCTTCCCATCTCCTTCCCATCCCCTTCCCATCTCCTTCCCACCCGCTTCCCATTCTCTTACTCCCCATTGCCCCAGGTGGCAGGACATGCGGCGGCTGATCGCGGAGATGGAGGGGGGCGGAACGGGGGAGGAGCTTTGAGACGTCTTTCCAAGTTTGATCCGTTTTTCTCCGTCTGTTGCTCCACTCCACACCCTCCCAGGTGGCAGGACATGAGGCGGCTGATCGCGGAGATGGAGGGGGGCGGAACGGGGGAGGAGCACCGGGTGGTGAGGGGACTGCTGGTGGGGCGGTATGAGTCGGAGGAGTTCTGGCCGATTGCAGAGGACTTCTTTGGACGCCTCAAGGTGAGACGAGTTCATCGCCCCATACTGCATTACACAACACACATAGGCTGGAGGGGGGGCTGTTTTTGAGTCAACACACCACTCAAGCTGCACTCAGGCTGCGCTCATGCACTCAAGGATGCCTCTTTTTCCCTGTGTGCAGAGGGAGGGAGTGGAGGTCAACCGAGTCTTTCTCAATGCGCTCATGGACGCCCTCTGGTGGGCGGGCAGGCAAGCCACAGCACTCAAGCTGGACTCAACAGTCCTCCATGCCTCTCCTCTCCTCTCCTCTCCTCTCCTCTCCTCTCCTCTCCTCTCCTCTCCTCTCCTCTCCTCTCCTCTCCTCTCCTCTCCTCTCCTCTCCTCTCCTCTCCTCTGTGTGGTGTGTGTGCCCCTTCATTTCCTCTCACAGTTTCTCAACTCAGAGGGAGGGAGTGGCAGTCAACCGTGTTTTCCTCAACGCCCTCATGGACGCCCTCTGGTGGGCGGGCAGGCGGGCCACAGCACTCAAGCTGCACTCATGCACGTATGCACTAAAGGATGTTTCATTCTCCCTGTGTGCAGAGGGAGGGAGTGGCGGTCAACCGGGTCTTCCTCAACGCCCTCATGGACGCCCTCTGGTGGGCGGGCAGGCGGGCCACAGCACTCAAGCTGCACGCACCAGTCAAGGATGCCTCTGTTCCCTTGTGTGTGTCCCTTCATTCCCCTCCTGCACAGAGGGAGGGAGTGGCGGTCAACCGAGTCTTCCTCAACGCCCTCATGGACGCCCTCTGGTGGGCGGGCAGGCGAGCCACAGCCCTCAAGCTGCACGCACCAGCCACCAGCCTCGCCGTCTTCCCGGAAGCTTCCTACCGCTCGCCCACCCTCTGGTCCCTCGACGTGCACCGGTCAGTTCTTCTGTTCTGCCGAGCTGTCAAGGATATGCAGTCGTTTCAAATTAACTGATATTAAATTGGTCGTTTTGGGACTTCTCGACCCGACCGTCTGGTCGCTGCATCTGCTCCCTGACCCGTGCCTCTGGTCCCTTGATGCGCACCGGTCAGTTCTGCTCAGAAGTCCAAGTTTGGCTCACAAGTTGGCTTTTGAGTCGACTCGTCCCTTGATGTGCACCGGTCAGTTCTGTTCAGAAGTCCAAGTTTGGCTCACAAGTCGCCCTGATTCTGTTCTTTGAGGTCCCGTCAGTTTGACTCTAAAATCGCCTCAGCTTCGTGACTGGGTTTCGAACGAGTTGGTATTTTGTCATGGTGCTCAAGTGCACGGGAAACTCGACGATTTTCATCCCTCAACCCCATCCCACCCCCACCCTACCCCCGTCTCACCCCCACCATTTATTCCAATACCCTTCTCTCTCCTACCTACAGCATGTCGCAAGGGGCGGCGTTTGTGCTTCTGCACCACTGGCCCTCTCAAGTGCACGGAAACCCCCACTATTCCCTACCCCCAACCCCATCCCAACCCCGCCCTACCCTCATCCCAACCCCACCATTTCTTCAAATCCCCTTGTCTCCCCTGCAGCATGTCACAAGGGGCGGCCTGTGTGTTTCTGCACCACTGGCTCTCCCAAGTGCATGAGACAGCTGTGCTGGAGCCAGCAGAACTTCCTCCACTTTTCAGTATAGTCACAAGGTGAGGGTTAATGTAGTTAAAAAAAAATTCCCCAAGTGTAGCTGGATTTTCATTATCATCATTCGTCGGTCTTTTGTCGTCCTCTAGTGTATTTGTTGCTAAGTGATGTTTTTTCCATAAATTTCCTATGCTTGATCAATGATACACATCAGGTGGGGTGATGAGAGTCCCAACAAGGATGAGGCCGATGCAGCACCTGTGAATAAAGCCATGGTGCAAGCTGTTCAGTCGCTTCAACTCCCCTTCGCTCCAGCACCGTGGAACAGAGGCCGACTGGTTGCGAATCGCGAAGCCTTGATGGCATGGCTACTAGCAGAGGGGAATGCTGATCTCTTGCTCCTGAAGGATGCTCCATTTCCTGTAGAGGTTTCAAGTAGGTCTGGTGCTTGATATTTGTGAAATGTTAGTGAACGGAAATATAATACACGAAATTCTTGTTGGGGACGGGGGTGAGGCTTCAAACAAGGATGGCCCAAGTCCCCAAACCTCAGTTTCCAAACCTGACGAGGGAACGGAGCAGTTGCAGCAAGGGAGCACCAAAACGTCTGCTTGGGCGCTCGGCAGCTTGTCCTGACGGCCAGCCGACGTCCCCGAAACTCAGCCAAGCCCTTTCCCGCGTCTGCAGGTTACTGAGATTCTGGCATGTGATTTTGCAGTTGGGGTGACAGAGAAGAGTAGGCTCGGATTGGGTGATCTGGCTCACCAGTTTGAGCCTCTAGGCCCGGGAACAAGCTGATAGTCACTGTAGCTGAAATGATTGGAAGGTCTTTCCTGATTGTTACTACGATGTGTACACTTTCAGCCCGAGTGTATATATGTTTGTTTCATGGAAAATCAGGTTTGAGTTAGTCTGTGTCCCTGTCTGGTTGAATCTCTGTACCTAGGTTCCCAGGGTGTGCGTTTCCGGCTTCACGTAACACCTTGGCTGGTTTGGACTTGTGTCCGTGTTATTATTCTTTTCAGAGTCTATGCAAGGAATGGAGATGGGAGAAGTGAGTTGCTGCACTCCTCTGGTGAAGCAACTCTGTGGTCAAGCTGACAGAAGTTGCTCCGGTTACCCTAGAGCTGTCCTTATCTCTAAGCTATCTGGTTGACTGTCCGTCCCTGAGTCGGTGCGCTGGGAGTTCCCAAGGTTCTCCAGGATGCGACCCTCGAGATTGATCTACTTGTCGTTCAGTGCGGTGGAGAAGGATTTAATTTGGTATATTCTGGTTCTTAATCCTAACGTCTTTCAACCGTAACAAACCAAAGAGAACCGTGGTTAGTTGGCTTTATAATGTGACAATTTTCGATCCAAACCAACAGACAGTTGAAGATAGGTTGATACAGGGAAACACGAGATTGGCTGGCTGGCTGGCTTGAGCACAGGGCGAGATAAGACATCGTCCTCCATTCCAGCTCTCTTCATTCTGAAAGCTGAGATTTCTGACATCGAGATTGCCGCCTAGCGCCTGGATTTTACATTTCTCTAAATAGGCTTCTGCTTATTGCCCGTCCAGAGAGCAACGATCCATCTTTGTGGTAAATGCTTCTGTTTGTACACCCTTCCAAGTTCGGGGCTTTCAGGCGTTGGGTGGTTGAGGCATAGAATTATCGGAGGGTTTTAACTACCTGCATCCTATTTCTGTCTCACCCTCTTATTTCTATTTCGGACGATCATAAAAAGCCGCCAAGATGATGGACATGGTGCTGACCCTCCTTATAGCGAGCTGCATGACACTAACGCAGTTCGCGTTACAGCTCAAGGAGAACATGTCCACGTGTGCATACTTTAAGAACTTCAGCCTGGTTCTAGACTCTGTCGCCAGCATCCACTCGCTGCTCGAAAACTGCAAGAAGTTTAAAAACTGGGGAGCGACGACGGATGCGGCAAAGAAGGCGTTTCAGAAGCTGGAGGATCTTCTGAGGAAGTGCACGGGGCTGCTGCAGCGCTGCATCAGCGCGCGAAGCAAGCTTCTGCAGGTTCGTGTCTCTTTTTCCAAGTTTATATGTTGACTTATTTTTGCTATTGCTGCCATTAAACTGCGTCATCTCATGTATTAGTCGGCGATCTTGTCTGATGGCATCGTGCAAAGTAAATAGCTAATGTTGAACCTTGTTAGAATATGTCACCATCAGTCGCTGCACCGCACCTCCCACACAATGTAGATAGCCTGAGAAGCTATCAGGGACACATTGCGAAGCTTGCATCGCTCACTCGGCGACCGTACTCAAGTTCTGAGATGTCGAAAGCCTCCCACACAAACAAGTCGCCTAACAAGCAATCAGGGTGCTACTTTTGACAACTCAAAAGTAACACTCAATCAGGGTGACATTGCAAAGCTTGCATCTCTTGATGGCTCATTACGAAAGCTGTAAAAGTCGTCACATGAGAATATATATTTGTTTCCTTACTTCATTCGCTTCCGCGCGCAGCTCGTTTCAGAGACGACGATCAAGCTCGGCGATTTCGTCACCATGCATGCTGAGCTGGAAGCCGTTGAAATCGTTGTATCATGCGAATCAATTTCTCCCCTTGGATTCCCTTTCCGCGCGCATTGATTTCCTTTTTCGCGCACAGCTGGTGTCAGAGACGACGATCAAGCTCGACGATTTCGTCACCATGCATGCTGAGCTGGAAGCCTGCCTGCTCGCCATCCCCACAGACGCCATGCAGGATGATCTCGTAGCGCAGGTACGCGATAGAACGTTCCAGACATTACAAATGTGATTTTTGAGTCGTCTAAATAAATAGCTGGAAGCCTGCCTTCTCGCCATCCCCAAAGACGCCATGCTGGATGACCTCGTCGCGCAGGTACGCAATAGCGTGTTACAAATGTGGTTACGTGGATGTAACAGGTGGGGCTCCGCGTGACTCGGAACGGTGATCGTAGAGGAAACTAGGTAGTTGGGTAGTTGTAGCTGGGGGGCTTCTTGTGTCAACTCTAAGTCGCATCGTAAAGGCAGCTAGTCTAATAATGAACCTGCGACTCTCAACATTTTACCAGACTTTCGATCCTCCCCTCAACTGCGTTTTCGTAAGCACGTAATGGCGCCGTTGGATTAAGCCTGTTTATACACATCTTTTGTCATTGTTATCTGTTATTTTTTGCGCGACGTATCGGTCCACGTTTTCTGAATGTCCATATTAGTCGCCACTTTCAACGCGTCCTTAGCTTGCGAAACCGGTGTGTTGATGATAAGATGAGCCGATGAAGAGAGGGGAGGACAATGAGAAGAGCCGACCGATGTTGCCTCCCTTTGTCGTCATTTCCTGTACACCTTCTTTTTCCCTTCACGTCTTGAGCCGACTCAGCACTATCTTCCCCTGTATGATTCCTTCCTGCCGAACACCCTAGTCCAACTTTCATCTTCTCCGCTTTCTTCCCCCTCCCCGCCTGCCCCCTTTTGTCCCCCTTCCCTTCTCCCCTCCTTCCCTCTGATCCCGCTCCAATCCACGCTCATGCGTATCCACGACGCGTGCATCGAGGGCCGCTTTACGGTCGACATGAAGTAGCAGCTGCAGACTCATGCCCTTCCCGTCTCCCCTCTGCTCCGTCCCTTCCTCCCCCGTATCAACCCCCCTGCTACCTGCTTGTTTTTCCCTCCCTCTGAACCAGATCCAAGCCACGCTCAAGCAGATCCACGACGCGTGCTTCGAGGATCTCTTCACGCCCGACATGAAGCAGCAGCTGCAGTCGCTGCAGCAGGACGGCGGGGGCAGCGGGGGCGCGGGCGTGCGCCGCAGCAGCAGCCTGGGGACCCCTTACACGCAGAGCCAGTTCCCCGCGGGGCAGCTCGCGGACGCGCTGGGCATGGACGGCGGGGGCGCGTTCCGCAAGGAGCAGGAGGCGCTCGCGCTGGAGAAGCGCAAGGCCGCGGAGAGCAGGGATAAGACGCAAGAGGCGCTCATGGATCAGGTCAGTTGGGGGGGAGGCAAGGGAAGTAGGAAAGGGGAAGAATGAAGTGGAAGAGGGGGGAGGGAGAGAGACGGTTTTGGTACTGGCGCTGGAGAAGCGCAAGGCCACGGAGACCAGGGATAAGGCGCAAGAAGCGCTCATGGATCAGGTCAGTGGGGGGGGGGGGGGGGGGGGGGGGAAGATGGGGAGAAGAAGGGGGGCAAAGAGTGGGCAAAAAAGGGAGAAAGCGCGGGGAGAGCGGGGGGATGAGGGAGGGGGATGTGGGGAAGAAGCGGAGAGGAAGGTAGGCAGAGGCAATGGGCAGAAGGCGCTGATGGATCAGGTCAGTGGGGTGGGAAAGGGTGTGAGACGTCTCAAAAAAAAGGGTGGGAAAAATGGGTAAAAGGGGCAGGAAGAAAAGGTGAAGCTCCCTCCCATCTCCACACTTGGCCTATGTTTTCCTCCCAGCCTTCAAGGAATCCCAGGCGAAGGTCCTTCACACAACCTCACCCTTAGATTCTCCCCGCTCCTCCCTCCCACCCCTCAACCCCAACCCCAACCCCAACCCCACCCCCACACGAA